CTCATTTGGGGGCTGAGGAGAAGCAATGCAGGGGAAGGGCAGGGCAAGTAGCAGTGAGCCTGGGGCTACTTAATAGGGGCTGATGCTGTCAGGACCACGTGTCCTGAGAGTCACCCTGCACCAGAAGAGAGGAGCAGCATCCCTGGTTCAATTCTAGAGAAGTGTGGGGGAAAAAATCAGTGCACAGATTCAGGAGCGGATGATTTTGCTTCTCTGGAAAATAGAAAAGTGAAGTCACCTGCAGGAAGGGACAAGCAAGCAGCCAAACCAGGGAGGAGCTCAGGTGACCTGCTGTTCTTAGAGCTGCCCATGCAGGCAGGAAGTGAGGCAAGAACTGCAGGCTGCCAGCCCAGGATTCTGTCCCTGCTCCCACTCCCAGTCCTACCAAAGCCAGGTCCTGGATCCTTAGCTGTGGGTGAGCTCAGGGGGCCCAGGCAGTGACCCAGAACACAGAGCCCCTCATAGCAGGGAGCAAGCATTGCTGCCTGCAACCCTGGACAGCGAAAGGCAAATCTGCATCTGTCCCCGCTGGACACAGCATGGATAGTCATAGGCTCCTCCTCCCCCTCCCGTCCAGAGAGAGAGAGAGCAAGTGCGTGTGAGAGAGAGCGCTCTAGCTTGCTAAGCTAGCGGTCTCTCCTGGGGTCAGGCTTGGGTTTTCCCTGCAGAATATTTGGTGCCAGTCTCTTGGGATACCCCCTTCAGTAGTACCTGCATAAGGCCTTTTCAGGTTACCAGAGCGTGCCAACCCTTGGAAAATTGACCTCTGCAGAACTTGGGCAAGTGTCTGCTGGAAGCCAATCTATCTCTCACAGACAGGGCTCCCTCATCTCAGCGGCTGTGGGGGGCATTTCCTGAACCTTCTGGCTTCATGCAATGAAATGACCAAGCTCCATTCTGCACCTGCCAGCTCACTTCTGCGGACACTCTTGTCAGCCACCCAAAAGGGACCACAGGTAAGAAAGGCACCCCTATGGGCTCATGAAGAGCATGTTGTGCATGCCAGGAGATGGTGGGGTTGGAGCCAAAACGATGCCAGCTGCTTCCTGGGTCCTGTTGACCACAACTCCTCCTCCTGTTCGTTTGTTCAGTCAGTCCATCATGGGCTTAATAAAAATTAGCAGATGTCAATGGTGTTCACTGATTTGGAAGGCAGCAAAGGGTTTGTGGCTGGGGTTGCCTGGAAGATGGCATTAGGGCAATATCTGCCTAATTCAGATGGTAGGGTATTGCATGTACCCTCTGGCATCACAGTCCAACCTTGGAAGGACAATCTGCTGTAACTGGTCAAGTCATTGAGCAGAGCAGATACATGAAGCAGGCATACGCTCCGTCTCCTGAGCACTTCCAAGGGGATGACTCAGGGTGGAAGCAGTATCACGTGCTTTCTTCCAGGGGCTCCTGGCAGACCCATGTAGATTCTCACACTGGAGTGCTGTGGGCTCTGGATGGCAAAGAGGGGTTGCAGGGATCAGAAGCACACTTTCAGGAGGAGGACACAATCTGATGGGTTAGGGCTTTAAAAGCAGCTACAGTAGAAAGATGGACAGGAAAGAGACCAAACTGCTTTGACTTCAAAGGACCCAGGACCCAATGGACCAAGAGAGGCTGCTGTGAGCTTGGGGCTGAGGTGAGGAGTGGTCAACAGTGCTACAAACCTAGAGGGACTGCTGACGTCCCAGCATCTTACCCCACGCCACACTGCTGGCATAAGCTTCTCCAGGCACCCTCACCAAACCCACAGGTCAACTGGCATTGTCACCCACTGCCATCCCTTCTCCCATGTCTGCCAATTCTACCACATAGAGGACCCGAGTCCAGAGCTCTTTGCCTTCTAGAACCCTTTCAAAGGGGACGGGGGGGATGGAAAGTTGCTTCACCTGCTGCCGATTAGCCGGAATGATTTGTCCTTTGGTTGTTAGTGATGAATGCAGTCCCCACAGTGGCCAGCCACAAGGGAGGGGGATTGGAGACTTCTTGCAGGAGTATGCTTTTTGCATGTGTGCATGCTTTTTCGGAGGCCTGGGTCACTTCTTGCTGGATCTTTAACAGATGCAGTCAAGCATATTACCTGTATACTGACAGGGAGAAATTTAATGCACTTGGGGGAAAAGAAATCTTTTTTATTCAATACACTTGGCTAAAGGTGAAACAGACCACAGTCTTGCAATTTTCAGCCGTGATATTGGTTGGAAAAAGGGATTAGGGATGTACACATACAGAATCTTCAAGAACTTCAGAATTAGATGAACCCAGCTTTGGGGTGTGCTGCTTGTCTCTGTGTATCGCACAGCCCTGCACACACCTCAGTTCTCCTGGCAGCTTCGCAATGAAAGTCCCAACACTGGAGTTTATGGAACACAGGCCCATGTGCTGCTCACACAGTCACTCTCCTGACTAGTGCCACTGGTAAGGATTCTGCCACGTATTAGAAGCTGCAGAGCTGGCTTAAATTCTAGCCTTATCACTTTAAACTGTTTGGAGTCAATCAGCCCACTTCCCTGATGGGCCAGCTTTTAGATTTACATAAAAGACCTGATGTAGCTCTTCCTCACACCCTCCTAGGGATGACGTGAGGACCTACTAAGGGCCAAGCTGCAGAAACTCTGTACCAGCCTGAGAAACACCCAAATGCAAGTGTTCAGAAAAAACTTTACAGGCCTCAGCATCAGAGAGATGCTTTCTTTCCCCGAGTTTAGCCAGCCCAGTTTCCTAACATCAAAGCAGCACATCTTCAGGCCTGTGTGCTACTAGGTAGGCACAAGCAATGGGATCGTATGGCTCCTCTCCATTCTAACAAGCAAGCTTCCAGATGGTGGGGAAGTGGAGGTCGTGTTGAAGCCACTGGGTTGCATAGCTAAATTAGGCAGGGAGAGAGGACGAAAGAGAGAAAAAGTACCAGAAGATAACTCTGTGATTGTCGGATATTTGAATGAACAAGGAGAGCAGACAGGAAGCAGAACCTGATCAGCAGAGTGTCCTGGTGCTTGTGAAATGGAGCCTCCTGCAGCAGCCCCAGGATCACAAACTTCCCCTGAGCTCTGCTCATGCACCCACAACCTGAGATGCTTACAGGACCTCTGGGCCTCCACCCCAGTGCTGTGGGGAACGGGGACTAGAAATACTGTCTGATCTCCACTAACTACTAGGGGCTTACAGTAGGAACTGGGGAAGGTATGGAAAGGTGTCAAAAAGCAAACCTTGTGCATGAACTCTACACCAGAGATAACACAGGTGACCTACAAGTACATGGGGAAAGGGGAAGACAGGGGAGGGGGACTAAAGGGACCAAGGGATGCAACCTTATCATGACAGCTTTGTCTGGAAATAAATGAACTCCGCTGCTTCCCATGCCCCCAGTCTGCCTACAACAAACAGGTCGCTGTATCCAACAGTGACAAAGACCCAGACCTCAACAGAAGCTTCTGGATCCCAGGCCAGGGCAAGCATTGTACACACCATATGCTCAATGTGCAGGAGCATGGTAGTGCCCCAGAAGTTCATGGGGAATGCTCTCCCCCAAGGTCACCACCCCCACCCCCGTGCCCTATAGCTCGCTCAATGTTTTATAGCAGCTGTCTTCAGGGAACAATTGGCTTTCTCTCTCTGCTGGGCCAGGAAGGAGCTAGGAACCTGTAAGAAAGTTAGGCAGAAGTGCATAACCCTGGGGTAGGTGTGGGGTGCAGTGTGGCACTCGGGCTGGTAGCATCCAAGGCACGACAGATGAACATGATTTTCTATTCCCAAGGAGTCTTTGAATTTGAACCTTCCAGGGAAGTTGAGGTAGAAAGATCTCCAAGACACACTTTGGAAAAGTCTGTTCATCTTGGTCTGTCCCCAACATTACAACTCACGTAGAACCCTGCCCCCTTTCCTCCTGCTTCCCCTAGCAGGCACAAGCCGCCCCTGCTGGAGGCCACCGGGTCACCCTGACAGTGCCTGGCCCAGCACCTTCCTGAGTGAAAGTGGTCCTGTCTGCTCCCTGCACCCATGCTGGGAGGTAGGCAGGGCAGGGTGCATGTCAACCTGGGCTTACAGACAAGACAAATGCCAGCCAGGCAGAGTGACTCAACTGGGACAAAAAGCCTAACTTTATAAGTTGACCAAAAGAAAAAAAAAAGTTCGCAGAGTCCTGGCCAGTGCTCTTCCCAGGGTAGGGTGGTGGGATGGGTTTAGGAAGAGCTGCAGCCAGAGTGGCGGTGATGTCCAGGGTCACTGGTGCGAGATCCATTAGGGTGGAGTAAAGAACAAGAAGGAGCAGAAGTGGCTCCCTGCCTCACAAGCTGGAGCGCTGAATCCCTCACACACCAGGTGATTTACAGTTCCAAAGCAGATGGACTCACTGGACTCGCATTCTTCTTAAAAAAAAAAAAAGTGCTTAGTATGCAAATAACATAAGACTTACCATCCGTGGTTTTCCGTGCATTTGAGACATCCTCCAACCACCACAACTACCAGTTCCAGAACATTCTCAGTTTTCAAAAAAAAAAAAAAAAACAATCCTGTGCCTATGATCTGTACTGAGGGCCAATGCCACACTCCCAGGGTACCCACACCAGGGAGGCTGGAACAGGGTCCCCCCCACCCCTATGGGGAAACATGGAGGGCTGCTAAAACAAAGACAGCTAAGTCAGATGGTAAACCTTTGAAGGTGATATCTATTATGCCATTGCAGTGGCATGTTTTAAATGGTCACTATACAAAAGAACATGCTAGCTTACAAATGCTGCTTTTCCTGCTCCTTCTGGTGATGGAACATTCGAGTCGTTCCCTGCTGCCTTTAACCTTGTTGACCCCAGGACCCCTTTCTGCATTAGCCGTGTCGTGCTGGCCTGGGACATCCACCTGAAGGTTGAACAAGGTGAGAAGTAGCCACGTGGAAGCCAGCAGCAACAGCCCTGCCCACCAGCTCCTCGAGGCCTTCCTGGGGCAGGAGGCTGAGGTCCAGCCTGTCTGCCTCGCAGGGTCCCAGGAAGCCAGACCCTTCTTCCTTTGAAGCCATGGGCCCCTGCTGTCCAGTCCTTGGCTCCCTGACCCAGCTTGGTGCATGCTGGCTCCTTCTGGTCATGGCAGGTGAGTGTGGTCTGGGAGCCCATCTGGGGAGAGCTCTCCTGCAAGAGGACTCCCTGCTGCTGAAACAGCTGCAGGCTACACCTGGGGTCACTGGCTGGGTGGTGGGTGGTACAGGGAGAAAGCAGAGGGGCAGTTGCAGGTCTTACATTAACCACTGTGTTGCCCTGAGTGTCCTCAAGCTTGAGTTCCTCATCTGTAGGATGCAAACAGTATCACAAGCCTTCCCAGGGCTACCATGAAGACCCAGTGAAAGTTTGAGACCAGCGTCTGGGCAACCAGGGTACCACATACACACACACACACACACACACACACACACACACACACACACACACACACACACAATGGCTCTTGTCTTCCCACTTGCCATCCCAGATAACATGGACATCTTTCTGGACTGGAGAACAGGAGTTCTTAGCTTGCTCAGGCAGCTGAGTCAGAAAGTAGCAAAGCCACACTCAGAGCTTGGTCAAAGCTGACATGAGCGATCCCAGCAGACAACGCTACCAGGCTTTCCTAGCTGAGGAGAATTCACAGGTGCTGGCGGTTTATGAAAAACCTGGGTTAAGGCCCCAAAATAGCAGAGGATTTCCTGGTTAGCGTTCATGCCTACCCTAACCAGCACACAGGGAGAAACACCGCTTGCCTCGGGGCCAGGCTTACAGTAATTCCTGAGAGGCCAGGAGAAAGAGATCTTCCAGCCCATGATTTATTTCCCCAAATGTCTGCAGGACTTGGGGCTGAGCAAAGCCACAGCCAGGAACTCCACTGGAGTATCCCGTGTGAGTGGCAGCTTCCCAACTACCTGTGCCATTACCTGCTGCTTTCCACAGTGTGCATTAGCAGGAAGCTGGAGAGGAAGCAGAGCCAAGACTCAAACCAGGCCTTGGGATTTGAGACGTAGGTGTCTCGAGCAGCACCTCAAAGACTGTCCACACCTGCCCTTCTTATCTGACTTTCTTGTCTCTGAGTCCCACCCACCCCACACTGCACCCCTTGGTTTTGATTTCTTATCTAATATGTATTAGATAAGAATCCTCAGCTGGGTCTGCAGACAGGAGCTGAGTCAGCAGTCCCCCTTGCCAGATGAGCAGACTGAGGCTTTGGGAAGCTGAGTGGTTCTGATGGGGCGGGAGGTGCAGAACAAGCTGAGCACCTGCCCTGGGACCACTAGAGACCCCATTTCTCTCTCCCCGTCCCACAGCGTCAGCCCAGCAAGGTTCCCACAGCCATGCCGAGGACCGTCTCTTCAAACACCTCTTTGGGGGCTACAACCGCTGGGCACGGCCTGTGCCCAACACCTCGGATGTTGTGATCGTGCGCTTCGGGCTTTCCATCGCACAGCTCATCGATGTGGTAGGTCTGCCCCAGCCCTTGCCAACCCCTTTGCAGGGTTCCCGCCTTGCCTCTGCCCTGGCCACAGTATGGTTCCCCCAGTATGGCTACCCCATCTTGGACCTAGAGCTCCCTCCTCCCCTGCAGAGGGCATTAAAGGGAGTTGGATGGGGGAGGGGAAGGAGTCCTAGATACAAACTGAGAGGCTCTAAGCAGCCCATGTGTGACCTGCAAGAACTTGGGTGAGTGGCAGCAGAGATGGCTGGTCTTACGGGGCCATAGAAGAGGGTATCCCAGCCAATCGGGACCTAAAACAGTTCTTGCCACTTGCCCCCTTTGTGGGCTGATTCTGCCATCCTCACTGCTCCTTCTGTCTCTCTCCCTTGCCGGCCAGGATGAAAAGAACCAAATGATGACAACCAATGTCTGGCTGAAGCAGGTGAGGGGGCCCTCCCTGGCTGAGGGGGCCCTCCCTGGCTGAGGGGGCAGTGGGGCAGGAATCTGCTATTGCAGACTCAGGGCTCCTACTAACAGGGCCCTGGGAAGGGCAAGATTCTGGATCCACAGGTGCCCAAGGAGTCCGCTGACATGTCCAGGAGCCAGCAGAGGACGGGGTTCATGGTTGAGCCCAGTTGCCAGGTCTGAGACTGTAGCTTACTGAAGTCAAACCACCTTTTCCCCATTGTAGGCATCTCATAGGCCCTGCCTCTATAGGTTTGTCACCAAAGTCCCCCATGAGGCTTCGTGCTGCTTCTTTTCCAGCTGAAGAGAGTAAGAAGCAGAGTGTAGCCAGGTGGGAAAAGGGGGAGGCCAGCCTGGAACCCTAGAGTCCTTACCCTGAATGCTCACTGGCCCAGCTCTCTGCTAAAATCAACTCCCAGCCTGTGATGGCCCCTGGTTTCTGTAACCAGGAGTTGGGCTGGTTCTTCCTGCTTGGTGTGATTCCATACTTGGTGGTATTTGTCCAGTGCCTGATTTAAGATATGTCACTGGCCCATCTATCAGGGGTGTTTAGAAAGCTCAAGAAGGTTCCAGAATGTTCTGGAAGGCTGGGTCCTCTGGGATCCCTTTCCTAGGCCCTCCAGGGCTTCTCTGCTTGGTCTCTTAACAGCAAGGATTCTGGAGGGAGGGTTCAAAGGGACAGGAAGAGGAAGTCACTGCTTTCTCCCAGCCCATGAATTGTTGATTCTGCTTCAATCTGTTGGCAAAGGCAGCCAGGGGGCCCAGCTGGACTCAAGGGAGGAACCCTCAGTTTGACTTCTTGGAAGAGGCCAAAGCCACACTCTTGTGGCTGTCTTTGAAGTGCCACTCACAGGACTGGACTTGGGCCACAGGCATCCCTTTCCTTTCCTTACCCCTCACTCCTACCCGGCCTTTCCCAAGGCCTCGGTGTGGGGGACCTCCCACCCCACTGCTTCCTGACCTGGGCCATCTCAGGGGCTGCTGGGAAAGCCACAGACACCACAGCATTGAGTAGCATCTTAGGGAGGTGCCTGGCCGGAAGGCAGTGTAGCCCCTACATGGCTTGAAGGCCCCGGGATCACTACTGGGGTGGGAGGGCTCCCAAGAGAAGGCTAGGTTTCACCTGTCTGTTCTTATCCCTTGTACCTGCTCAGGAAGACACTCTGGGGGTTCCTGCATCTGGGGGCTGGGTCTTGCTGTGGGACACTGCCTGACTTGGGGTCTCCTGGAGGCCTCTGGCCAGGCAGCACCCCTGACCCACTGCCCTCCCCATCCCAGGAGTGGAATGACTACAAGCTACGCTGGAACCCTGCTGACTTTGGCAACATCACCTCCCTCCGCGTGCCCTCGGAGATGATCTGGACCCCGGACCTTGTCCTCTACAACAAGTAGGAAGTGGCCTGGGCGCCTGGGACAGTAAGAGCGGGGCTTCCTGCAGCTTCCTTGCCCGTCCCTTCCCTTTTTTTTTTTTTTTTTTTTACATATTTCTTCATTTCCTTCACCTTGTTTTTCAACATTATTCAGTGCCCGCTGTGGCCTGCCCTGTGCCAGCGGGACAAAGATCCGCCAGTGCCCAGGGTGTGGTGTTGCCCTCCAGGCCGGAGTGGTAGAGGTGGCAGTGTTGTGGCAACAGGTAGGGTGCGTCCTCGGGTGCACTGTGGAAATCTGCACAGCCACATGGCATGCGCTCTGCTTTTTAATATGTATTATTAATTCATTCTCGTCTACCGTATGCAAGACGAAGCAGCAGCAGGTGGACAAGGGCTGGGAGAGTGAGGGGCATTAAAATACCCCCCACCCTCTGGTTGGCTCCTAACTGCCCAGAACAGTCAGGGCTCACCCACTAGGATTCGGGAGCAGGAGCTTGGGTTGGAAGCAGAGTCGCCAGGACTTGGACGGGCTCTCTAGTAAGGGATACCAGCATCCCAAGCTGTGGCCTAACCCCATTGTGCCACAGATGCCTTCCCTGTTAAATTTTCTAATTGTATTCAGGACCAAAAAGGACAAGCCTTTCTTTGAGCACGAGGACTAGAAACCCACAGGGGCTGGGAGTTAACCTGCTGGCTGCAGATGCTGGCATCCCACGTGAGCAATGGTTAGAGTCCTGGCTGCACAGCGTGTGGGAAAGCAGCAGCGGTGGATAGCCAAGTGCTCGGGCCCCCACCCCGACGTGGAAGACCAGGATGGAGTTTCCTCTATGCCCCTTGGTCCTGCAGGGGGCAGGGCAGGATAGCATCTCCAACCCCCCACCCCCACCCCTGCCCCCAAGAGTTATTTGAGAGGCAGAGAAAGAGAAAGGAGAGACAACTGATCTGGAGTCACAAACTAGGAACTTCTTCTGGGTCTCCCTTGTGGGTGCAGGGTCCCAAGGCCTTGGACCACCCTCTACTGCTTTTCCAGGCCCCAAGCAGGGAGCTGGATGGGCAGTGGAGCAGCCAGGATATGAGCCAGCACCCATATGGGATGACAGCACTGTAGGCACTGGCCCCAGGATAATACATACATTTTAAAAATTCTTTATTTTTCATGATACAGTTCTTTGGGCTCATGGATTTTCCCTCCCAGGATAATATCTTAGACCTTGCTAAATGTTCCGTCCAGCCCAGTACTCCCCGATTCATCTGACCCTGTTTCAGAAGCACTATTTTCAAACAATAAGAACAATGAGGAACCAGTGAGTATGCCCCACACTGTCCGGTCCTGGGCGGGTCCTGAACCCTTTCAGCGTAGCCCTAGGCAGGTCTAGCTCTGCAGGCACCAGTGTTTGCTATAGCTGCACAGCTCACCCACCCCTGAGATGTCCCCGGCTAGAAGTCAGCACCCAAAAGCACCCCACAAAACCCGGCGGAGGCCAGGAGCGAAGTCTGAGGATAGACAAGATGTGGAGTGTGAGGATCAACAAGAGTTTGGCAAGTGCAGTTGATTACCACATGATGTATCCCTGGACAGGACAAACGCCTAAACCAGACAGACAGACATTCTAAGGGGTCCCTGCACCCAAGTGAACTGCTGAAAGCCACAGGAAAAGGGACATTGTTGTCCCCATAAATGGGTGTATGTCGCCATCTAGTGATGATATACTGTAATGACCAAGATGTCTGGAAATTTGTAATGACATTCCCAAGATGCTACAGAGACCCTGCATTGTTGGGGGGGAACGAGGGGGGCAAAGGCGAGACTCTTTTTTTAATATTCTGCTTTTTTGGACTTTAGGGATTATAGGAAAGGGGTAGCACATTAAATACAGGGTGTGGGTGTGGAATCCACTGTGCCACTTCCCCAGGATATTCAGGAAACCCTGACTTACTAAGCACCATGGTTCAGGGTTCCTTGGGACGCTTCGGATGCCTCATGCCACAGTGCAACTCTAGCCTCACTCACGCCCCAGCACACCCTGTGAGACTTGTGCATTTCCACTTGCTTCTGGTCCCCATGGAACCCTCTGCTGGCTCGCTCTCCATCTGTGTCCCAGCCAGATCCTGCCAGTGTCTTCTACTCCTCCTCCCTTGTGGCTGTACCATGTAACCCATGTAGGGTGCGAAGTGGCTCCAATTGCAGATGTTAGGCCTGTTCTAAGCAAGGAACCAAAAGGGCCACCTGGAAAAGACACGGTCCCCGCCTGCGGGGGCTGGCTCTCTCCCTCATGGAAGGAGCAATGTGTCCACCAATGGTCATACCCCATCACCATGGGAGAAACGGGCAAACTCCACCTCCTGCCCCCAGCATGATTCCAGACACGCAAGTGCTGTAAATACATGTGTGGTCTGTATGGCAGGTACTTGTTACATGTATGCTCCATTTGAGACGCAAACTACATACACGATCCACACGGCAGTCACACATTACAAGTATGATTGGTTTGACGAATATTATGTATATGATTTGTGTGACAGTTGAACAGATGTGATCTATGAAGAATCACGATGCTGAGAGTAGTTTAAAGCTTCCTGGCACTTGCTCAGTTCTCCAAGCTCCTGCCTTTGGAATGACAACGACGCTGTTTGGCAAGAGAACTCAGGCAGCCAGAATATTGGTGTCTGGGGTGGTTGCACCGTGGGAGTCCCCCTGCTGCCAGCTCTCTCTATGGGGCTGTTGGGGTGCAGGATCCCCACCCCTCACCAGTTCCTCTCCTCCCTTCTCTCCCCAGCGCAGATGGGGAGTTTGCAGTGACACACATGACCAAAGCCCATCTCCGCTTCACGGGCACCGTGCACTGGGTGCCCCCGGCCATCTACAAGAGCTCCTGTAGCATCGATGTCACCTTCTTCCCCTTCGACCAGCAGAACTGCAAGATGAAATTTGGCTCCTGGACCTACGACAAGGCCAAGATCGACCTGGAGCAGATGGAGCAGATGGTGGACCTGAAGGACTACTGGGAGAGCGGCGAGTGGGTTATCATCAACGCCACAGGCACCTACCACAGCAAGAAGTACGACTGCTGTGCCGAGATCTACCCAGACGTGACCTTCTACTTTGTCATCCGCCGCCTGCCGCTCTTCTACACCATCAACCTCATCATCCCCTGCCTGCTCATCTCTTGCCTCACCGTGCTCGTCTTCTACCTGCCCTCCGACTGCGGCGAGAAGATCACCCTCTGCATCTCCGTGCTGCTCTCACTCACCGTGTTCCTGCTTCTCATCACGGAGATCATCCCGTCCACCTCGCTCGTCATCCCGCTCATCGGCGAGTACCTGCTCTTCACCATGATCTTCGTCACCCTGTCTATCGTCATCACCGTCTTTGTCCTCAATGTGCACCACCGCTCCCCGGGCACCCACAACATGCCCCGCTGGGTGCGAGGGGTCCTGCTGGGTTGTGTGCCCCGCTGGCTGCTCATGAACCGGCCCCTGGCACCTTTGGGGTCCCACAACCCCACAGGCCCCAAACTCAGCCCCGTGTATCACTGGCTGGAGACCAATGTAGATGCCGAGCAGGAGGAAGAGGAGCGGAGATGGGTGTGTGCGGGTTGCTCAGCTCCCACTCTGGGAGCTTACGATGGCCATAGGGGCTTGCAGCGAGGGGCTCTGGCGCCCAAGACTGTATCCCAAGAGTATGAGATACTGCTGTCCCCTCGCCTGCGCAAGGCCCTGGAAGGCGTGCACTACATCGCGGATCACCTGCGGTCTGAAGATGCTGACTCCTCGGTGTGTAGGGAGTGGGTTAAGGGGCTTCTTCTTCTGAGTCACTCTACCAGCTTGGGCAGGGTTCCCATCCCAACTTGGGGTGCAGGTGTAGGCCAACCCAACCTTATCTCTTGAGGGTCTACCTTCCCTAGCCAGCGCTCTTGATGCAGTCTGGCACTAATAATGAGAATGTGTAGTTGAATGTTCTTAGGGCATGTATAAGCAGGTGGCAGAATTCTTTGGGGGTCAAGAAGGCCTCTCAGCCTAGTGGGCAGCCAGTGAGCCAGAGAGGTGGTGAACTTGACCATTTCTGCCCTTTAGTTCATAGGGGTGGGGGTGATGCAGGGGAGGCCAAGAAGGTATGTGGTTGGCCCACCAAGTCCAGCAGCCCCTTGTCCTGGATGACCTCTTCTCACTCCTGGTAAGCTGTGCTTACTTTGTAAGCTTCATTATTCACCCACAAGCCCCAAAGCCTCTTGGCTAGACCAGGCAGGCCCTCCTCTGCAGCTCTGGATGACTGCAGGGTTCAGAATCAGAACTGATCAGTCTAGGCTAGATGAAAGGCCGGAGGAGCCTGCTGTGTGGCCTTGTAGGGAAGAACAGTAGTTGTTAACGAAGCCAGGGGGCTGCTGGGATCTGGGCACCATAGCCCCTCCACCTGGGCTCTGAGCCTGGATTCCACACAGTCCTCCCTCTCTTGCCTGTCTTGGGCTCCTGCTGTCATCTCCTGCATTTCCTGCAGGTGGAATGAGTGGCAAGCCTGCAGGCATCTGTAACTGTTGGGCTGCCTGGAAGTCACTGCACCTCCTGCTTATACCCCAGAGTCCATGGCCCGGGACATCCCAGGCCCTCCAATCCCCTTCTCCTGAGGGTTTATGGAAAGGCTCTTGGCTGCCAGGAGGGTGTACAGGATAGAACAGGAGCCCCAAGGGAGGGTTGTTCAGTCCCCACTGGAACTCTGCCTTGCTACCCATTCATCTGATGTTAGCATCCCAGGTCTTGTTGGAACAGTGGCCACTGCACCTCCTGCCCATCTTTACAGGGGTTGTATATGCATGGGATGCTTCCCCTCCCTGAGGCCTGGCCTCTCATGCCATGCCCCTTCCTACCTGCAGGTGAAGGAAGACTGGAAGTATGTCGCCATGGTCATTGATAGGATATTCCTTTGGTTGTTTATTATCGTGTGTTTCCTGGGCACCATTGGACTTTTTCTTCCCCCATTCTTGGCTGGCATGATCTGATTCTGCGTCCCTGCTATGGGCTCCCTGGTGGCCCTGCCAAGCAGCTGCTGACCATCTTTACCTCCGCCATGCCCTTTGGAGCCAACGCCATCTGTCTGCAGGTGCCTCTCTGCAGAACCCTCATCTAGCCTCATCGTTGAATACTTCTTGGGACGAGTGACCTTGACGTTTCTGTCCTGAGCTGTGAGAGAGCCTGCTGGACACCAAGCCCTGCCTTGGTGTGCCCAGGAGCAGCCCAGGTGAAGTGCTGGCTCTGCAGCAGGTGAGAGGGTGGCAGTGGTGAGGTCAGAGTGTGTGGAGGCTCAGTACATATGCTAAGAGGGAGAAGGACAGGGCGAGTGGGAAGGGACCTCAGAGGAAGGATGCAGGAGGCAGGGGGAGGCAGGGGGAGAGGGCTTCCGTGTGGGAGACAGAGGGAGGAAGCTGGCCAGGCAAGTTGGGCTGACCTTAGGCCAGGCTCAGAAGAAAGTACAGAGTCTGTTGGCAGGGTTTGGAGCTGTGTGACCACAGCAGGCTGATGAGGCTCTTCAGAGACAGGGTGGCGGGTGGGAGGTGGGAGAGTGGGGCAGGAGATTGGGCCTGCAGTGGGGTTCAGAGAGGGTCCTTTCGTCAGATGGGGGAGTTATTGGGGCCAGTCCTCCCACCTGGAAGCACCCTGGAGCTCCTGGGCTCCACCTAAGCTTTCTGCTTCCTCTTCCTGGCAGCACAAGGGTTCAGCACTGACCAGCCCCCAAGAGATTGGGCAGAGCTGAGCAACACCGCCCACATGGGCACCATCTGTCCCTAAACTGCAGTGGAGCTTGTTTGGTGCCCTCTTTTTGCTCTCTCCCTCTGGGGAACCTGGAGCACAGGGCTCTTCAGGCCAAGGCAGGAGGCTTCAGGCTCCCTTCCAGGTTGAACTCCCCAAACACAAGCCTTTGTTTCCATCCCCAGCACCTGTCACAGCCCCTGCCAGGGAGTAGTGTCAGCACTCTGGATGTTTGGTCCGAGTGGTTGAGAGCAGCAAACCAGATTGCTTGCTCGGCCCCCAAGATGGCTATGAAAAAAACCCAAAACACAGGCCCTTTCCCTCCAGCTGGCCCCCTGCCCTGCCCAGTGCCCTTGGACATCTGGAGCCTGCCCTGGTCTCCTCTGAGCAGCACATTCTTGCACCTGGGAATGGGACATTCTAGGGACCATGGTGACTGTGCATGGGGAATCCAGCCCTGGCTGCACGTCCCAGGGACCAGACCTCCCCAGAGTCCTGCTCAGCCCTGAGGGTGGCCCTGCTGCAGCAGCTGACAGAGGTGGGCCGACTGAGACCTTCTATACTGCAGGTAGACTGTGGTTAATAGGCAAAGCAGAGTGAGATTTTGGTTGCCATTCAACCTTTGGGGTACCCTCCTCCCAAGCCCTTCACAGCCCTCTCCCTGGCCAACCCAGTGGGCACCCTGCTTGCCCCTGAGCACCCAGGCACCCTGCTCCTCCCTCATCATGCCCTTTCATCCTCTGACAACAACCCCTAGCTTCTCTGTGTGCCTCCCTCCCTCCCACCCAAGCCCCCCAGATGCATTCTCCTGGTACAGCGAGGTCTGCTTTTGTTTTCACGTCTCCTGTCAGCCCTGCATGTGAATAAAAGTTTCAGAATCTGCTTTTTACAAAACCAAATCCTCTGGTTTGTTACCAGGTGGCCCTTCCTTACCAGCCTTCCCTCAGTGTCATCAGCATCACCCAAGTCCCTCCTGAGACCCAGCAGAGAGGAGTGTCCTATGACTGTGGTGGGGACTGCCCTGCATCAGGGGGCTCTAGCTGCCCACCCAGGCACACATGACCCCCTCAACTGCCCTGCCAGGCTGGACACCAGCATCTGTCAGCCCTCACCCCGCACGCTCCTTGAATGCAGTCGATTTCTTCCAAGGTTGTGGCTCAAGGTCAACATCCTCCCGCAAAGGGTAGATCAGACAAACCAACCAGACCACAAAGCAAATGGTACAATTTTAATTCAACCACAGTCAGATAGAAAGAAGATAAAAGTGTTTTACACAAACACGCAGAAAGGATGGGGCAGATGAGAAGAGGGGTGTAGGAAAAGGGAAGGGGGAGGAGGGGGAGAGACAGGTGGCGGAGGGAGAGAGCGGCCCGCACAGTCCTGTTCTGGTCTCCACCTCTCACTTCCTCCTGACACTTGGTCTGTTGACAACACAGCATCCTGTGCCCAGATTTCCAATTAGCTTGGTCCTGGCCTCTGTCCCAGGTCCTCCCTCAGGGGGGCACACGGCTGTCAGTCCAGGCTAAGCTCGCATTAAATAAATTCAATATACACTGTACAAGAAAGCCAGGCCCCTCCCTGATCTTGTCTTCACTCCACCTCTGAAATGAATCCCCTGCCTGAATCCTCTGTGCATCAGGGGACCTCAGAGGGATGAAGACGAATGAGGATCAACAGCTTGTTTCTGATGGACCTGTCATGGCCATGCATGATGCCATCTCAGCTGCTGGGGACCCCTGTCAAGCTCCAGCATTTGGGCTGGGGTGTGAAGCCAGTGGGCCGGGTGGCAGCCCCAGCCCCTTGGAGACAACTGTGTCACCTCTGCCCTGGGTGTCCATTCCCAAAGTCCCCTTTGTCCAGCTGCGGCCTGAGCAGCACGGTCTGGGGTAGAAGTGGGGAGGGGAGGTCGTGCAAAGTGGCAAGGGAAGGACTCCCCTCGGCCTTGGGGCAAGGCAGGGAGGGACACAATAGGCAGGGGGCAGAGCACGAGGGCAGGTGACCCCACTCTCAGTCACTCGCAAGTGGGTGGGCCAGATTGGCCAGAACCTTGGCCTGGTCCACAGCGTCGAGCAGGTTCTTGGCATCCACAGCCAGAATGTGGGAAGCCGTGAGCATCTGCCGCTTGCACTCCTCGCTCAGGGAGGTGACGGCGTTCTGCTGGGCCAGCCGCATCTTGTTGATGAGCTCAGCCAGGTCTTTGTTGAGCAGCTTCTGGGTTCCTTCAATCTGCAGGAAGAGTATGTGGTAGAGGCTGGGGTGCCCAGGTTACTGCCAGATCTCTACCCAGAGGGTGATGCCACACATGCATCTGGCCCCAGGATTGGTCACGGCCATCACAGGTTCCCTGGGGAGCTGAATCCAATGCCCAGTGTTGGATGGAAGCTAGTTTACCAAGGCTCACACTGTAGCCATCACAGGCCCCAGCCCAGCCCAACTCAGCTGAACACACCTTTCCTTTCAAGCGTGATCCTCCCGGCAGGCCCAGAGTTTGAGAGAATGGTTGGGGGAGGGGCAAGAACTTTTATTGTCAAATCAAAGGACCAGGGACAGTGCTTTGTTGGCTGCCACCATATCCCCAGTTCCTTGCACACACCCAATACCCTCCTGGTTGCCATTCACTGGATACTGTCACATGCAAAGAATGAATGAATGAATGAATGAATGACATCTTGAGAGTAAACAGCTCTTGCATCAGACTGGGTTAGTTAGGGCTATGTCCAGGGGAAGCCCCTGCTTTGTTCCATCTGGAGCCACAGGCCTCTCCCTGCCACAGGAGCTGGGTCAGCACACAATACCAGGACTCTCATTTTGGTCTTTAGGGTCAGTTTGTTTTGTATTCACATGTCAAAAATTTGAAGAAGTGATCAACGGAAGGAGCCTCAGAGGCTGTTCTGATGGCACCTTCCCCTTTAACCTTGGTGGTGAGGGTGCCTGGGCAAAGGACAAACAGGAACAGGGTGGAGGAGGGCCTGCCCTCCCTGGCCAGTCCTCACCTGGGGAGAATTCTTTGCAATTGCCTGAGACCTGCACCAGCAAATTTGTCCTGAAAGCTGTCCAGGTCCCAGTGTCATCTCAGCCTGCTGGTGATATCTGCTTGGATCTGCTCTGCAAAGCCATTTGCTGGGGACCCAGAGGCCAGAAAGAAGGCTGCCCAGGGACCCCCATGAGCCTCCAGTCAGGAGGACAGGTGGTGGGTGAAGGGAAGGGACGGCTGACAGCTCTGTCTGGGATGAGGATACTCACCTCTGTCCGAGAGGATGAGGGTAAGGAGGGCAGGAGGTCGTCCACACTCCCGATGAGCTTCCGCAGGGTCAGCCCCACGTTCTGGGGAGAGGAAGAAGCAGGTGGCTGTCACCACTTCCTTTCTGGGAAAGCCACATTTCCCTTGCAAGGAGCTCTCCAGGGTGCTGCTTGTCCTGTGTGGCTGCTTTTGGCCACCTCAGCTCTGGAGACCTTGGCAGCCAGCCAGCAGGGCCGTGTAGCCCTGCCTCCCTTCAAGGATTGGGATGCACCATCCCTGTCTTCCCATCCTTTCCCCGGCCCCTGGCTCTCACCTTCACCACTACCACATAGCCCTCGGGGGGCAGCTGGCAGAGCTCATTCTTGAGTTCCAACACAGCCCGTACCAGCTCCATGACGTTGAGGTACACCAGGTCGTCAGTGCGGTCCAGGTTGGCCGTGGGCTGGATGGACTGAAGGGAGAAGCAGACGGCCAGGAGGGGCAAAGGCATGAGTTACGGCAATGCTATAAAAGTTGCCGTTCTTTCCTTAGGCAGGCATTGCTGGTGCCAAGGCAGCCACTGGCACAGCTGGAAATGACTCTTCCCCTGGAGTAACGGGGCCCCGGTCAGGAATGCATCTCGCCTCCTGCCTGCAGGGTAGATGCTGTCTGCTTGGGGTGCTCTGACAAAATGCTGCAAGTGCCCTCACACTGCTCCAATGGAACTACGTGCTGGGCATGGGAGACCGTGTAATCCCAGAGGGGAGTAAAGATTGGGAACTACTACTGCTCCAGAGCAAATGACACCTGTACCCACCCAGGCTACTACAGGGTCAATGGGGAAGCTGGAATCTATGAGGAGGGGTTCCAGAGAGGAAGGGTCCACATCTCCTGGCCCCAGGGCTGGACTAGGAAAGGAGAGGACACAGGACACTGGCTGTTTGCTTAGTGTTTTCATGTAATGGCTGTGTGGACTTATCCTCCCTCTCTCGGCCCCAGCTAAATGATAAGGAGACAGGACTGATGTCTCTGAGGTCTTCCCAGGGCATGGTCCTCAGTCTCATGGACAACTGAATTCAAGCTGTGGCTAGCTTTGGAAGAGCCAACACTTACGTGTGCGCCGAGCCGCGGTGGCTTCTGAGGGGGCCCTGTGAACTCCGCTGCAAGGGAAGGAAGTGAGTGGGAGGGGGTCGTTCTCAGCAGCACCACCCTCCCCTTCAGCCCCTTGGACAACTGAGCCAGGAGTCCCCAAGGGAAATGACACTCAAATTCCAGGAGGATGGCTGGGAAAATGACCTTCCAGTCTTCTGGCTTTCCCACAGTAGGGGAAAGAAACTGATGTCTGTCTCATAGAAAAAAGAAAACCAATGATAGCAGAGACAGAGTGACAGCAGATGTGCCAGCTCTGGTTTGCACTTTCATCCCTGGGGCACTCCAGGCCCCAAGAAACAGTAGTACTCCAGCCTTGACCATCCCATCCCGGTGGGAGAATCCTGGCTCGGGGAAGGCAGTGGCATCTCTAGGTGTCTCTAACATCTTCTGACCTGGTGTGGCTGGACCAGGGAACGCTCGCTGAGGGTTCCCCTGGAGTGTGTGCAGCTCCAGGAAGTAGAACAGTAGCAGAGCTATGACACTCCTCAGTGTGCCCAGCACTAACACACACACACACACACACACACACTGCAGAGGGCTGGAAGAGGGAATCTCAGTGAAAGGCCTACTAGGCTGGGCCCACCCTCGCAGGTACTGCTCAAGTGCGCCGCCTGCTGGCTGGCAGCTCCTTTGCACTCCCTGGTCCTTAGTTTTTTTCATGTCATTCTATTTCCTTAAAACAAGAGGTCGAACTCAGAAGAATCTCTGGAGGCAGCCAGGGTGCCTGGGCTTGCATCTGAGTCCTGCCAGTCATCAGCCGTGTGATTCTGGGCAAGCTACTCAACCACTCGGGTCTACAGGTCCACTCTGTAGATGGTGGAGACACAGGTTGAGTACCCCTTATCTAGAATTCTTGGGCCCAGTAGTGTGTTTCAGGGTTCCGTTCTGGGGCTGCATGAGTACTGGAATATTTGCATCTACATAATAAGATTGCTCAGAGGGAAGACCCAAGTCTAAACACAAAATTCACTTCTGTTTCCCCACATATTTTGCACACAGGGTTTGAGTGTAATTACATCCCACTTCACTAATTTTCTGCATGAAACGGAGTTTCATGGTGTGGGATTTTCCTCTTGTTGCTGGCATGTTCTGTTGCTCATAAAGTTTCAGATTTTGGAGCATTTTAGACTTCAGATTTTCAGATTTGGGATACTCAACCTGTAAGGAAAAGATGTATTTGTCTTATAGAGTGGCCGTGAGACTGAGTTAATGTGTGAGTGACTCAGGCCTGTACCTGGCTTGCGTGGAGTTCTCGGTGATGGGTCTCTGTGATCAGCTTCATGACAGTTATCACCCACAGCCTCATCCCCAGCTCTCTGCTCCCCACTGGCTCTTCCCTTCTGGGGAGAACCCTGAGGAGCACACCTCTCTTCCTTCTCTGGGCTTGGGGGAGGTGCATAAAGGTGGGAAACACACACAGAAAGAGAGAATGTTCAGCTCCTCCAACCACACGCAAGAGGAGCTGAACTGAAGATGTGGGCAGCTGAGAAAGGGACGAGGGAGGCCACCAAGCTGGATCAGAGCTCCAGGGCTGGGAGAGGCCTTGGGGGTGGTGGGGGTGGGGGGAGGAGCTCTCGAGACCGAAGCTAAGCCTCTCTGCACACGTTTCCTCAGGCTGTGGGCCTCAAGGGGCTGCTCTCTGCACTGGGCAGGGAGTGAGGACCAGGGCCCAAACTAAGACGTTAGGCAGACACTGCCCCGCAGAGGAAGGGCAGATGCACTTACTGTAACCGGCCTCCTTCTCTGGGGTCTAGAAAGAAGGGAAAAGAGAGAACATCATATAGGTGGCTCTGGGGAGACCCACTTCCTTCCCCTTTCTGTACTCCACCCTCTCCTTTGATTATAGTCATTGGGGAGGACAACTGGGAGCCTTTTGGGAGGTCAAGGCAGGGCTTACAGGTGTGGGATGCAGGAAAATTGAGGAAAATAACCATGTGGAGACTATAGGGAGACCTGCTCCAAAGACAGGAAGCAGCCTGGAGGCTGGAGGAGGTGAATGAGGGCACCCATGGTACACAAGGCCTCCCCAGACCCTGGGTGAAGGGAAGAGACTTCCCCTGGGGACTTACCAGTGGGGACTTGTCATTCATGTAGACCATAGGGTCCTGCAGAGGAGCAAAGCAAAGCAGAGGAGTGAGGAATTTGGAAGTGAAAGCACTCAGAATGCCTGGGGGCACTGGCACAGACATACCGCGTGTGTTTGAACCCTTACGAGGACAGCACATGGGTGGTTCAGTGGTAGAATTCTCGTCTGAACCCTTACGAGGTAAAGGCAGGATGTAGCCCCTCATCTGCCTCCCTTTGCCCAGGGTGTCCTTTCCTGACCTTTATCAAAGATTTCCTTCATCCTAGGGATGACATGGCTGGCCTGTTCGGGCTGAAATCTCTGGATTCCAGAAGCCATTGCTTCTCCACTTACAATGTGACTTTACACCCCCTGACCCCAGACCAACTAGAGCCCCCCGGACATTCACAAATTCCCTAAAGAGCTTGGCATCACTGAGCAACAAAAGGAAGATCATGAACACCACTGGCCAACCAGGAACTTGGACATGAGCTGAACACATACCACTCAGCCTGAGCTTATGAGAACCTTCCTGCTAACTCCTTGGGAGCCCTGGAAAACTAGGCAATAACGCCCAGTTCCTGCTGCTGCGCTGTGCTGTAGTGACCACACCAATTTTTGCATGTCATGCAAGAGGACTTAAATTTGGAAATTACATAGGAACACTACAAAGTGGTGTGGGAGGTTGGTTGGCAACGGCACTGGCTCACCAAGGACTTCTCCTCCTGCCTCAGCCACTGGTAGTCTTCTGCCATCTGCTTCTGCTGCTTGTCCAGGATCTGCTTCATCTTCATCTTCTCTGCCTCCCATAGCTGCTGGGCCTCTTCTCGGCTGCTGGGTCGGATGAAGTCCTCCTCCTGCAAGGACAGCAGAGAGAGGGGGAAGGGACCCAGTGAGCCCGGTCCCTGGACTCGGAAAGAGATGTCTCCCATTTGAGTCTCCTGGGAGTCACCAACTTGGCCTTACCCCCTGACTGCTTCTGGCAGGGTTACTCTTGGACCCATAGCCCTCCATGCAGACAGCCATCATTGATTGTCAGCTGCATGCCCATGTTTCATGCTTGTGTGGCAGTGGGATGCCAGACCCAAGAAGACACTGTTCAACATTCGTTGTGTCCAAACTATTATGTGATCTGCTATGACATTTCATTTTCAAGTGACTTCCTCCATTATCGTCTCAGTGACATTTGTGATCGTGGCTGGCCATTTTAGTTTTAGAAATTCCAAACCAGTTATCTGGTGCCTGTCTCCACTCAAATGCCATGGCACCGGGTCTGGAAGCTCTGGAGCACAGTTCCCTGGTATGAGGTTCCACAAGGCTGTCCCTGGATGAGCAGGACCCGAGAGTGAGCCACAGCATGCAGCACCCATCATGACCATACCTTTCTGTTCAGACATGCTGTCTTATGGTATTAGTTTGGGTTATTTAGCCAATGGTAAAAGAGGCACATGAGCTAAGACACAAGATGAAGAACAAAAACATTTTTTTAAATACAACCCTACAGATATATGATAAATGCAACCCTCCCTTGTTCTATTCATCTAATCCTTGAATTTACTCACTCATGGGGCTCTGCACCTATCAAGTTTGTCTACATGTTCTGAGGCAGAAGGACTGCATGTTTTTCTATTTTCCCGTCAATCTTCCCTAGAAGTCCTTTGTGTAATTATCTGCCTAGTCCCTCCAAACTATTTTGCTTTTTTTCCCTGCTGTACATAATCACTTTAGTCTCTGAGTAAAGGAAGAAGAGTGTTACTAGCACCTTTTTAAAAAATTAATTAATGTATTTGCAAAACAGAGTGACAGAGACACAGAGAGAGTGAGATGTCTTCCATCCATTGATTCAGTCCCCGAAATGGTCACAGTAGCTGGGGCTGAGCTCAATGGAATACAGGAGTAAGGAACCATTTGATCTTCCATGTGGAAGGCAGGGACTCCAGTACTCCAGCTATTATCTGCTGCTTCCTAGGCAAAATAGTAGGGGTGTGGATAGGAAGTAGAGCCGCCAGGACTTGGTCCAGAACACTCCTGTGTGGGACGCAGGCACCCCAAGCACCAGCTCGATGTGCTGTGTCACACCTACCCCTGTTGGCACCTCTTCACTGCACAAAGCCAAGAGCTCGCCTTCGCCAGGGTCACACTCCTACTCTGATGTCCCAGACAGAAGGACTTTCGATTCCTTTTTCCTTGAAGTGGCCAGTTTATATACAAGCCACTTGTAGAAAATGTTAACAATTATGTCTTCTTACTTCTAGCAAGCCCTAATCCTTGTCAAGCCTTTTTTCAAAGAGTTTCCCCACTAAAGCCTATAAAACACACTTTAAAAAATAGTGGAATACAGGAGTAAAAAATAGTTACAACTAGTTTAAAAAAATAGTTCTTTGAGAACTTCAATTACTGATTTTAATTTCTTTTTAAATATTTATTTATTTTTATTACAAAGTCAGATATATAGAGAGGAGGAGAGACAGAGAGGAAGATCTTCCATGTGCTGGTTCACCCCCCAAGTGGCTACAACAGCTAGAGCTGAGCCAATCTGAAGCCAGGAGACAGGAACCTCCTCTGGGTCTCCCACACGGGTGCAGGATCCCAAAGCATTGGGCCGTCCTCGACTGCTTTCCCAGGCCACAAGCAGGGAGCTGGATGGGAAGTGGAGCTGCCAGGATTAGAACCGGCACCCATATGGGATCCTGGTGTGTTCAAGTCGAGAATTTCAGCCACTAGGCCACGCCACCGGGCTCTGATTTTAATTTCTAACAATATTTTTCCCTATCAGTTAGACCTCTTGCCAAAATAATCTTTGCTCATTAATATATTCAGCAACTACTTATTTAGAAAATACTACGCAGCAGTTATGGAGCGGGGCACTAGGAGGACACTGATTTTAAAGTGTATAATGTCCCTGTCCTCATAGGGCTAATGAAACAACGCTTAACCAGGGCTTCTCTACTTCTGTACTATCAGCAACTGAGGCCAAAAAGCATTTTTTTAAAGAAATGTTTATTTCTCTGAAAGGCTCGGAGACAGAGATGGAGGTATAGGAAAAGAGAGTATGTGTGAGAGAGAGATAGAGAGAGAGAGGGAGGAGAAAGAGGAAAGTGCATAGAGATCTTTTATTCTTTGGTTCATTGGCTAAAATAGTTGAGGCTGGGTCAGGCCAAATCTCAATATGAGTCTCCCCTATGGCAGAGACTCAAGTTGTTGAACCACTACTGGCTATTTCCCATGACATGAATTTACAGGAAGCTACAATATGAAGCAGAGTAAAACTCAAACCCAGGCACTCTGATATCTGATGTGGGTGTCTCAAGTGTTGGATTAATGGCAGTGGCAAATATCTGGTTGGTCACAAAAATGCCTCCAAGACATTGCCAGCCATCTCTTTAGAGGCAAAATCACCTGAATTGAGAGCCACTAAGCTAGATATTTTGAAAAAAAAATCTAGAATGTAAATGTCTTCTATGATGATAGAATTGATAAAATAAGATTTATTTCATAGAGGCCAATCATCCAAAGTGAGGGAATTTTAAGGCAATAAATAACTCCAGCAAAACACCAACACCTGAAAACATTGCATTACGGCTGTCCCCAGCAATTAGCAAACAGTGACAACCAGGTACCTTAGTCAAAAGTTTTAACTATAGAGTTAGGAAGTTACAGATGCAATAATTAAAAAAAAAAAAGCACTGGCAGAATGGGTTACAGGTCAAAACATTGTCAGTTCTGTAAATGCCAAGAGATTTCCATCATTATAATGCTTGGCCCTACCACATGATTTAATGTGAATATATTTGAGAACTTATTCTAATGTCTTTCAGTTTCATAATAAAACTCAAGCAGAAAATAAAAACTTTTTAAAAAAACCAATTAGTTTTTTTAGGGAGGATTGAATTGCATTCAGGGACTTGACAGGGACACCATTGATTTCATTATGCTGTTAGAAGACACCCTGAGCTGTTTTAAAATGATTCTCATAAAGCTAGAATATCTTCCATGTCTAGATTACAGCTCCTTCGGCCAGCCTTATTTCGACCTCCACAGGTTCCCGCCTTCTTCTAGCCAATAGTTTCTCTACTTGTCCTGTGGCTTCTCATCACTCAGTCTTTGCTCTCTCTCTGACCCCTCTGTCTTATCTAACCCTTGCACTCCAGTTTCTTCTTCCAAGTGTTTCCCATTCTCTAAGACCCAGCTAGGAAAGACACTTGGAAAGAGATTGTCTCCTCTCTAAAATTCCACTTTCTGGCTTCCATTACAGGTGAATGTGTCCCAAGGGCAAGCCTTTGGGAAGCAGCAGATTCCCTGTCCTAGTCACACTTCAGCACCTAGGACAGCATCCTGCAATTACGCATGCAGCAGACTGCTGTTGCAGGTTTTTTTCGTTTCTTTCTTTTTTTTTAAGATTTATTTATTTTTTAAAAATTTTTTTTGTTGGAAAGTCAGATATACAGAGAGAAAGAGAGACAGAGAGGAAAATCTTCCATCTGCTGATTAACTCCCCAAGCGGCAGCAATGGCCAGAACCACACCTATCCAAAGCCAGGAGCCAGGAGCCTTTTCTAGGTCTCCCACACAGGTACAGGGTCCCAAGGCTTTGGGCTCTCCTCGACTGCTTTCTCAGGCCACAAGCAGGGAGCTGGATGGGAAGCAGGGCTGTGGGGACACGAACTGATGTCCATATAGGATCCCAGTGCATGCAAGATGAGGACTTTAGCCACTAGGCTATTGTGCCAGGCCAGCATTTTCTTATTTTAAATGTCAGTTGTGAGGTCTTCAAGGAGACTGTGGCCATCCTGTCCTTGGTGTAGGATTGCACAGATGGTCAGATGAATCAGGCTCTGTACTCGATCAGTAGAAATGAATCATTTTCGTGGGGAGATCATCTCTGAATGGTGGTTAAATGCTTTCAAACACCTTGTAGGGGACCTATTATACTTTTTCTACCTGGAAAGGGTTTTATTCTGATCCATACCATAAAGTGGAGTTTATATTTTTAACTTTTTTGTTTATTTAAGGGAATATTCACCATGTTCTTTTAGTTGGAGTTTCCTATGGAAGGCAGTTACTTCTAAACCCCTGACACAAAGCACTCTCTTTCTCCCCTGCACCCTGTCCTTTTTTTTTTTTTTGGCCTGCTGCGCAGTCTGCCTTTATGGAACCAAACAAAGTCCTCCCAGGGAAGCAGGGATTAGACAAAGGCAATGCTACCCATTAAAGGTATAAAATGGCTCCTTTCCTAGCACATATTTTTTTAAAGTAAAACTCACTAAAACCTAATTAATTATGAACAGAGAGTCAAGGGTAGGAGCATTCAGGAACTGAACTCTCCCTAAATTGTAGTCTATTCTTAAAAGATTGATTTAGTATTGTTAAGCACATACAAATACAGAAATTTGTTAAATCCATGTAAAAGAGAAAAAGGAAGGAGGTCGGGGCAAATTAATTTCACAACAGATCTTGATGTCTGGAATTCCTGGTTGTCAGGCTCATTTCAAAATTTTGCTAAAAAATAGCAGCACAGAAGTAGGAAGGCATTTCACAGAAATTTTCTTCTTTCTTTTAAATAACATTTTGAAATACACTATTATGTCATCTTATTTGCATACATTTTTAGAGCTATGTATCCTGTGCCTGACACATTATACCTGTATACACAGGTTACACTAAAATCATAAGGGTTTTGCTCTGCTTGACAGCTTAGTGGAATGTAACAAATATTCATAGCAACTGACTACATGTGGTCATTTTTATTAAAGGACATGATGGGGCATCGGCTTTAAATAAACTTGACAGTCAGAAGCTAGTCCCTGGAACACTGAGTCCCACCGTCAGTGGACAACAGAGAGGTGGCTGAAGAGGTGGCTTAGCCTCTGTCTCCAGCCTGTTAGTGACCCTGTGTCTGCCCTAACCCTTAAGCTTCCAAAAGCAGCAGGAGGAGCAGCCACAGGGCTAAGCTTTGCCTTTGACAAATTAGCAATCAGGCGCTCGGGCAGCCGGGAAGTGTGGGGCTACAAACGAACCCCAAAGCTCTTTGACTCGCCAGCACAACCTAGCAAGGCTGTACTCTGTCCCCTGGAGTTTGCACATCATCCATGGCCCACGCTTCCCCTGGAGATTTCCTTTGCCACAGCAACAGGAGAGACAAGAGCAGTTCCAGGTCCAGCTGATGTCCACAGAAGCAGAGCCTGTCCAGTTTGTTCACAGCACACCAGCGTCCAGTGCATGCAAGGGGGAGAGCACCTCCTGAGCCTAGGGATGTGGCATTCTCTGTTCCAATCCACCTCCCTCCGGCAACCTCCTTGCTCCTGGCCAGGGCTCAGCATGCAGGGACTGCTTACCCGCATGCTGTGGCGCTTGAAGACATTATGTCGGTGCAGAGGCGGGGTGTGCAGCGAGTTTACAGGAGATGGGTACTCCATAGGGCTGGTGAGCGTGGGAGAGCTGGCACACAGACCCTCGGGGACCTATTCAGGAGAAGCAAAGAAGCACAAGGCACAAGGACAAGGCAAGAAGGCGGACAATTAGCTGCTGCAAACATGAGCACAAAGAAATGATACAGGGCTTGTTCTCCAGGAGCCAATGTGAATGTGATGTGGGTGTTTCATTGGCCCTGAGAAACATGGCACAGCAATGTGCCCTCCCATTCTCCTAATGGATCTGCTACCCTCTATGATGCTCTGTGCACAGGAAGTCCAAACATGTTATTGATCTGAGACAAAGTCCCTTCTCTCAGGACCTCTCAGAAAAGAGAGATGCTCTGTACTTGTGTCACAAATCAGAAGAAATGACTGGCCCATAGACGATCAACTGATTTACTTATCAGTAGGCAGACATGTGGACTTCAAACATTCTTGTTCCAAAATCAACTTATCTTTTAATTACTTAGTCCATGAGCCTTCCTTCAGAATTATGTGGATATAGACGTATATGTGTACTTATATTACACACACACACACACACACACACACACACACACACACACACTTCCACCCCTGCATCAGTCATCACTTCCTAAGGTGGGCCAGGCTGAAGCCAGGAGTCTCCTCTGGAGGTAGCAGGAATCTAAGTCCTTAGGCCACCAACTGCTGCCTTCCACAATGTGCTTTAGATGGACCAAACAGCTGGGATTCAGCATCAGGTACCCTGATACTGGGTGCTTGGGTCCAAAGAGACAGTTCAACTGCTGTGCCACATGTCTGTCCCAAACTAGTTTTAAATGAAAAAAAAAGTACCACTATTTTAAATACCACATAAGAGCATGCATCTCTGTCAAGAATGCTGCGTCCTCCTAAAGCAAGTCTTTCTTCACACAAAGACTTCTCTGTTAGTTCTTGGGAAGGGCTTGTTTTGGCAGAGACATTTCCTTCACAATAAGTATATAATAAGACACCAGTTTCTGTAGGCAGCACCAAGAACACTGACATTGTTTCTCTTGGTTAAGATGCCCCATTTTTTTAACAACTCTGAGCTCAAAGATGCAAAAGAAGAAAAGAGAGGAGGTTGGGCTCCTCTCACCTAGATATGAGAGCAGAGTGATGTTGAGACAACAGATATCTTGAGTTGAGACCCACAACCTTGGTAAGATTCGTGGTCAGCAGTAATGGAAGTGGGAGAAAGCTCAGATAGAACCCTGCTTTCTCATCACTGCCCATACATGTTCTGGTCAGGGCCTCAGCAGGAACCCCAGGGGGCATTTCCATTCTCTGGAAAACATTGGCTGTCCTCAGCTCCCTGGGGTTGCTTTTCAGCAGGTTTTGCTCGGGGTAGGAGGCCAGGGAAGCTTTGGACACAGGGAAGCAGCTGCAGGCAGGCACATGAAGCAATAGACATTACAGAGCAATGCACTCGGGTTAAGGCTAGTCTTCTGAGCTGAGGATAACCTGGCACAATCACATTTCTGCTCTTTTGTTCTGAGTTCGAATTCTGTCCAAGGTGCTGAGGAAGAGCCAACATCAGTCACCGAGGCAGGTGACCACCGCTCCTCACAGGCACAAGAATGGCATTTCAGGAAGGACCATTCCCTTGTTACACATTTACCTGGAATTGCAGCTTGGGAGCCAGAAGGTTGGTTTGTGGAGGGGGTCTATACTTGGGCCGGCTGGGCTGTAAGAGGAACACAGAGTTTATCAGTTGTCTTTCTCTCTCTCTCTCTCTCCTTGAGTGAACACAACTCCCCAAGGTCAGAGATAGCTGAAGCTGTTATTCAGAGTGAAGGAGAGATGAGGGACCAAGTTATCATTAAAATCATTTCCATCCATTGATTACCTGTTGAGTACTGGGCAGACACAAAGAGACTGGCCTCTCTGCCCTCCTGGGGGCTGTTGCTGATCAGACCCTGAGCAGATAGCCTCGCTGTATGTGGTGGCACCTGCTGAGTCAGTTCAGAGGCTAGAGAGCATGGAGGGCTCAGCGCTGGGGGCTCAAGGAGGAGATGAAAGCTGACTTAAGCCCAAGGAAACGGAAGGGCTTGCCATGCAAGGGAGACAACAAGAAAAGCTCCTGTTCACCCTCCAAATTCACATGCTGAAGCCCTAATTCCCAATGTCAGAGTATTCAGAGATGGGAGTCTTTGGGAAGTGATTGGCTTAGATGAAATCAAGAGGGTAGAGATCTTGTGATGTGATTGGTGTTTTTAAAAGAGGAAAAAGAGAGACAAGAGATTGAACTCTTTCCCTTCGGTGAGAATATAGTGAGGAGGAGGCCATTTGTAATCATGGAAAGGACCCTCGCCAGCCATGAGCACCCTGAACTTGGATGTGCAGCCTCCAGAAGGGCGAGATGAGGTTTGCCATTTATGTCACCCTGTCAATAGCATTGCATTACAGCAGCTTGTGGTGACTGACATAGGCTTCATCTTTTGAAACCCACCCACCTGATGGCATAGCAATACAGCCCTGGTGCCTGAGTCCAGGACTTTGGACAGAGACTGTCCCTAAGGAGACTAGGACACCCCAATTCCATGCCCTCAGGCAATCTAATCTGCCCCTAAAAAACTTCTAGAAGAAAAGTGTGCAGGCTTTTTTGGGAAACTCTTGACCAACTGTCCCACAAGGTGTGTGCTGTCTCAGATTCCACCGGCCAGGGGCTGAGTTTGGTGCTGATGGGCAATCAGGTTGGGGGCTGAGAAAGCACTGCAGGGGAGCACCTACCTGGGTTGTAAAGGGAAACATTGGCAAAAGGATTCATCTGTGCTGTCACTCACGAAGTCAGTAAGGCCAGAGCTTGGCTTACCTTGGGTGGGGGTTCCTGGAAGCCTGTGGGTTCCAAGATTTTGGGAGGTCGGTAGCGAGCATTCCTCTCCTGCTCTATAGCAATGTCCTTCTCCATCTGATAAATGTCACTGTCATGGAGTAAGGTCAGATAAGAAGAGAGAAACAAGGTCAAGGTCAGATGCTCCTCAGTGCTCTTCTCTGCACTGGAGCCTGGACGAACCTAGGTGAGCACCACCGCCTCTCACTTCCATTTCTACCTCCCCTGCAGTGGCCCTGGGAAACTGTGGCAGGCTGGGAGAGGAACCCTGAGGCTGCCTCCTCCCTAAGGCTGGGAGGATCGCAGTAACAAATCTGAGAAACCATGCTTGGAGGGCCAGGCTGAGCTGGCTACAGTTCTGCTTCCCCATGCCTCTGGCTCTCTCGTGTCTGTGTGGTATCAATTGCATTTATAGATCAAAGCCTCCGCCAACATTCTGACCAGGCCTCAACTGCACATGTCCTGCTTCTCATCAATCCAAGAGCCATCCCACACACTCCTGGGGTTTACTGAGGGGCCTAGGGACCTCTCTCACATGCCAATTAGGTGTGTGTGTCACAACCTGGCAACCACAGGCCCCGAAGAAGCCTGGGATCCTTGCAAGGGGTTCCTGAATCTGTTGTTCCTATGTGTGCCAAGCATAATATATTGCTAGATCCATACCATGTATGCTGTGGTTTCAAAGTGTATGTATGACACTATGTGTGATGCAAATTCATTATATAGCGATTACATTTTATTGGTAAATGAATTCTAAAACAGTGACTGGTATGACGTGGAGGAATTCTCAAAATATGATATTAAACATATTTCTACCCCTAAGATTGGGAAATACAAATAAAATCCTTTCTTAAGTCTCAAACAGGAACTGACAGAGACATTGTAGGTTTCTCTGGGTCTTTGGCCATCTCTGGATTCCACAGAGAAGAATATTCCATCTGAAAGAGGGGGCCTTGCTGGTCCAAAGATGGGGTCCTACCTCACTGCCTATGATCTTTTTAGGGTCTCAGAACATGCTGTGTCCTCACCCTTGGGAACATTTGCCCTCTCAAACGCTATCTTTCAAACACTTTTCTCCTGGATTCTCTGCTTCTCACACTTCCCTTAGGAAAGGGCAGCAGATGAGTGTAGAATGAGTCAAGAGTGTTGATGAGGACCAGAGGTTTCAGAGACTGTGCTGGGGCCTCTGCAATCATTTCTGTTGCCTTCCCTGCCTGGCCTGCGGAGTTACAGCATTTCCTGAGATTTCTCCTACCAGGAAGAGTCCATGGCTATGGTCTTGTCCCCTTGAAATTCAAAGTATGAGATTTGTATAGCAGGAGCTAGCAAAGTATAGACTGCAAGATCAAATTTGGCCATTTACCTATTGCTGGACAATCTCAAACTAAGAAGACTCTGCATGTTTTTTAGTGGTTAAAAAAGAAAAGAAGAAGAGATAAAAGGATTTTATAACATAAGAAAACTATATGATATTCAAATTTCAGGATCTACAAATTTTGGGGGGTGACACAGCTATTTGCATTCATTTACATATTATCTACAGCTATTTTAAGAGCTATACTGGAAGAGCTAAGGACTAAAAGCTCAAAATGTTACAGAAAAGGTTTTCTAACTATCATCTTTAAAGGAAGTCAAAAGGGGGTAGGCATTTGGTGTAGAGATCAAACTCCATGTGGGATGCCTACAGCCCTTTTAGGAGTGCCTGAGTTCAAGTCCTAGCTACATTTCTGATTCCTATTAGTATACAGTCTGAGTGGCAGCAAATGATAGCTCAAGTATTAGATTCCAGCTACCCACATGGGAGACCCAAATTGAGTTTCCAGCTCCTGGCAATGGTCTGGAGCTGCCCCAGTTCCTAGGAGCTTTTGAAGTAGAGAGGACACCATGGTGCAGGGAAAGCAGGAGCAGGCTCCAAATTCTGCAGAGAGCACAAGCCCATCACTGAGAGTCTGCCTCAAGTCTTTGATTCCAATCCACAGGAATACTTTCTGAGCAGGTTCTCCAGGTGAGACACCAACCTCAGAGGGACAAGACTTTGCTAGGCTCACCTTGTTGCTAAGCTTGTATCTGACAGTGACTTTGGTCTCAATCTTCCCTCCTCTGGCAGAGCTATTGAGTGTGTCTACACCAAGTGTCTGATGCCATGCCTCTGCTGGAAGGATTAGCTAATCCCACTGGACGTATGGTTCAGTGTTGGTCAGAAGGGGAGATATGTGGGTGTGAAAGCAAAGCCCCTCTGGTCACTGCCTCAGTTGAGCAACTCTGACACATGCTGTCTAGGACTGGGGAGGGTCTGCTCACATCTGGTCAGGGAAGCCTATTGTTAACTTTCCAGTGCTGCTGCTGACAGGAGTCTTGCCCTCTGGGCAGCCCAGCAGGCCTTCTGTCCACAGAACCCTGCTCCATGCTCACCTGAGGCTGCACACGAGCTCGGTGAAGCGGGGTCGGTCACTGGGGTCGTAGTCCCAGCAGCGGGTCATGAGGGTATAAAGGATGGGTGGGCAGAGGTCAGGCTTGGGCAGTCGATCCCCTTTCTCGAGTACCCCGATGACATCCTTGTTCTCCAGCCAGAAGAAGGGCTGCTTCCCAAAGCTCAGAATCTCCCACATGCACACGGCTGAGGACAGAGGGAAGGGCTCAGGCCATGTGCTGCAGAGAGTCAGGTCCACACTCCCACGACACCAAGGGCAATTGGCAGATGCATCAGACAAAGGAGCTCTTGAGCTGTCTTGCCTCTTTAATATCTTTTGGGCCCATCACCGGAGTCTGCCCTAGGGATCTATTAACCAAGGCCTTCTTCCCTAGACTCTTTCAACATGGGGCCTTGGGTGTTATGGGGTCAGGAAGTGGCCCTCTCTTAGGAGGAAGTCCCTCCCTCCGAGAAAGTGGGTGTAAAACCCGTGTACTTGTCAGCCTAATACATATTAGCTTCAGTCTCCTCATTAGGAAATTACAGTAACTTGAACCCGGACATCCTAGGCCAGCCGTTGGCCCATGATGGCCTCCCACCCACTGCTAGCATCTCCACTCCAGGGACTGCTCCGAGACTGCTGGAGCTGGTCCCAGACCCTGGGAACTGGGGGGTGGAGGGCAGGCCACAGCTCCCCATACTCTTCTAGTCCTTGTCACAGAGGTGAGAACCCAAGGCCTTTCCCACAGTCACTCACCAAACATCCAGACATCACTGGCCGTCGTGAAGCGGCGGAAGTTGATGGACTCAGGGGACATCCACTTGATGGGCAGGCGAGTCACAGAGGCTTTGGGTGGGAGAGAGGTTTGCAGGAATTATTTAGGGAAGAGAGATCTAGTATCCAGAAATACAACCTAACTCCAGAGAGACCTTTGGCCTGGAGTTCCTCTCTCCCAGGACTATGGTTTCAGGGAGCCCTCTTGGAGTGAAGCAGCCAGACCCCTCCCCACCACTCACCTTTGTAATACTCCTCATCCTCAATGTACCGGGACAGGCCGAAGTCACCTAGCTTCACACACTCAGGGGAGGCCACTAGGATGTTCCGGACAGCAATGTCTCTGGCAGAAGGATAGGGAGGCAATGCCACCAATGGGAGCAGGAATGCCTCAGAGAGACAGACGCACATGGAGGACCAGGAGGACAGAGGGAAGTTGGCTGGCCAGGGTCACAGCTCCAGCACAGCATTAGGGGGCTTCTGTGGGTCACTGCCCCCAGAAAGTCATCTCACTATAGCCCTGTGCCAGCTCTGTTTACCTCACTGTCGATCTTTGCCTTCCACTGTCCCTTCTCTTCATGAATCCCCTTCTTAAGGCCTATTTCAGGCACCCGGAACTTGCTCACCCTTTTCCCTTCTGACACCCTTGCCTGTCTTGTCCCCTTACTGGGGAAGCTATCATTCATTGATTCTTCAAGGATAAACCCCAGCAATTCCCCTAGTTGCCCCTTTTCTTTTCCATTCTGCATGTCCACGGGACCACTCAGGCATCCATAGTATCTCCCTTGGTACGCGTGAGGAGACTCAGGTACAGAGAGTAGAAGGAACTTGCCCAGCAGGTGGACTAATTCCATAGCATCACTCTTACTCTCTCCCTGCCATGTTTTCAAGCAGGAGCACCTGCTGACTCAGTCCATCTTGTATTCTTGGCATAATTACCAACCCCAAACTAGTTCTCACAGGTAGGCTCCTCTTTTTTTTTTTTTTAAGATGGCCTAAAAGCATGACAATTTCAAATACTTCAAGGAAACAAATTATTACTCTACCACATTAGACCACAGCTATTTAAGTGGCATTCTTGATGTTCATGTTGGAAGCTCCTCAGGGAAGAGTTGTGTGTTTTGACCAGGACTCTGTTTCAGAGTCTAGGACTGCTCAGCATTAAAAAGAATCCACACAGTATGTGCTGAATGAGCAAATAAATGGGTGTGTGACTGAATGCATGCTAATGTCTTCTCACATGACTTGGCACAGAACCCGATACAAAGCCACAAGGCTCATGTCAAGGCGGGGTAGGCAGCCCTTGACTGCCTCTTACAGGGAGTCACATCCCAAGGTGAGAGACTCAGGGGAAGACAACAAAGAGAGTTGGAAGAGGAGTCAACTGTATGACCCAAGGGTCGCCTGGACCCCAGGGTCTTCCTGGTGCTGCCTTAGCCCAGCACCTTCTTCCTGGACCGGGTGGTTTGTCTGGAAAAGCCAGGGAAGCAGAAGGTCCGAGTGAGGCAGGGAGCTACTCCGGGGCACTCACAGAGGAGCAGATACAAGGTATTGAGCTATACCTAGCTTCCTGGGGCAAAGCATTGCTCTATCAGCTACCCGACAAGACACACACAGCTGTATGAATATGACAGATGTGGAAACAGAGCTGCAGGGCATGCTTGGGTGCCATACTGGGCTGAACTCTGAGACTGCAGCACTGTCTGTGCATTCCCTGCCTCAACCTTCCAAAGAATCAAGAGAAAGGGCCCTGCTCCTGTGCCACTCTGCTGTCTCCCTCCCCTATGCCTACCTGTGCACACAGTTGAGGCTCTCCAGGTAGGCCATAGCCTTGCAAATCTGCAGCGAGTACAGAACAAGCGTAAGCACCTTCAGGGAGTTCTTGTTGCGCTCCAGGTAATGGCCCAGCTGCAGAAAGGGGAAAGGAGTCATCAGGGGTCCCAGTGAGCCTTCCTACATGGAGCCACCAACTCTGCCAGGAGAGGTGGTAGCAGGTGCGGGGAGGGCAAATCCACAGCCAGCAAAACATTGGCTTCCTCTACAAACAGAAGGCAGGAAGCTGGGAGCAGAGTGCCCAGCTATCCACGGCTCCTCCACTCACCTCCCCATAGGGGTACAACTCCATGATGATCCAGGTGGGCTCCTCCTCGATGATGCCCATCAGCTTCACGATGTGTGGGTGGTCAAGGTTCTTCATGATCACTGCGGTGGGGGGCATCCAGAATGGCTCAGGACAGCTCCAAGGTCCGGGCCCCACCAGTTCTCTCCCAGACTCCAAGGTCCCTCCCTCCTTGGAGGTGTGAGGAGTCTCAGGGGTCCCATCCCCCAGGTCACCTACCTGCCTCACTCATGAACTTTTCCTTGTTGTCCAGAGTACAGTCTTTTTTGCAGGTCTTGACAGCCACGCTGATTTTCTCCCCTTTCTGCAACAACAGTGAATTCAAGGATTTGGTCCAGGTGAGTATTCACAATCATGAGGCCCTCCCCAGCCCCAGGATGGACTACCCAGGGACAACTTTGCTGCCAGCCAACGCCAGGCTGGAGACTTCCCTACTCCTGCTTTGCCTCACTTTCTTAGTCAGGCTGTGTTAGAACTAAAAAGAACTTTCTAGAAGAAACTCCTTCATGGTTGTCCAGATGAAAGCTTGAGCATGTTGGTGGCGGGGATGGTGGTGGATATGCTTGATCTTCTGAAGTCGGCAGGTATATGAGGCAGGGGATTCTCAAGGCTACTAGAGGCATGAGACCAGCCTTTCTCCTGCTCATTCATGCTGTGTTTTACATTCTCTCTGCCCCTTTCTATTGGTTCTTTCTACCAGCCCCATGCCAGGCCTGCTGGAAGCCTGATCATAGAGACATTTAAATGTCCATCACTGACCTGTACACAAACTGCCCAGCAGCTCGCTTTCTCTCTGCTAGGAACCCTATGTGTACCCTGCCTCCCAAGCTCCGTATGTTTCACTGAGCCGCAGTGACACTTCCAGGTCCTGCTTCTAGACTTCAAGCTCTGGCACTTGGTGCTCCTTCTCAGAAAGGACTCTCGCCCCCATCACTGCTGGGTGATGCCAGCCCACATGAAGGAGAGCCCACCTCCAACCAGGTGTCTTGCCCACAGTGGAAAAGGAGTGCTGAGAGGAGCAGAACTCACGTGATTGGTGTAGATCCCTTCATAGACCTCCCCAAAGAAGCCTTCACCAAGAATACGATTCAGAACCACGTCTTCACGGGAGATGCCATACTGCAGGCCTGAACAGATGGAGAGAACAAAGTCCTGGGCACAGAGACCGGCTTGCATCCCTGCTAACACCAGGAATTCCCAGTCTCTTCCTATCCATGGGCCAGGCTGGGAGCCGGGGTCTAGAATGTTCCATCATCTCTGACCCATGGAAGAGCCATGAACCCATGTTTTTGGAAGGCAGGATCCCTGTTCCATATTTTTAGAATTCCCCACAACTCCACAGAAAGATGAAAGTTCAATCAGTGCAGGATAAAATGAACCATCTTTGCTTTTCCACCAAGGATGCCTCTGGTGCACTCGGGTCTGATCCACATACAGGGGAGGACCAATAAAGGAAAGAAGGGCCCATGTTCCTCGTGGCATCCTCCAAATGCCCATTGTGTCACCTCCCAGGGCTCTGGCCAGGCCACCATGGTGGGGTCAAGGACTTACCTCCTGACCTCCTCAGAGTCTCATCGGGAATCTCTGCATAGATGTCAGACTCTAGAATGACAGGAAGAGGCCCACCCCACGGGCACTGTTGAGCATCAGGGCATGGCTCCCATCTGCAGGCCTACAGAGCCACGGGGGAAGGGTAGGGAAGCCAGGGGAGTCCCTGGACACTGTCCCAGACTTCTGTGTGGCCTCAGAGCTGAGGGTCCTTTAGGTTGGATCCCTATTCACGATTTCCCACATGGGTCACTAAGGGTATGTTGATTCGTCTCTCTTATTCTCTGTTTCCCTTTCTGTGACATCAGTGTTGCTGGGGCATAAATGTCTGCTTGGAAGCCACTCATCCTGGGACTGTTCTGCTTCGGACAGTCAGAGCTAAGATGAACAGGCTGCCTCATCCTGACCACCCGAGACAATGTTAACTATTACAGCTCATGATATAAGCCATCACTGACAGGGCATGGGCATTTTTCTGAAATGTGGAGGGAAACTTGGACAGCATCACTAAAGCATGCAGAAGCCCACAAGCCAGTGGGAAGCTTTGGGTGTGGGCAGAGAACCCAGCGGGCAGCCTCACCTATGCTGCAGCTTTCCGAGAAGTGGGACCGCCGATCATCCAGGTTTCTGTAGGAAGTGAGGAGTGGAAGCTGGGTGAGCTCAGAGCCTGGCAATGTGCCCCCACTAGGCAGCCTCAGGGTCCCTCCCACCCACCCTGTTTGGAGAGGCAGCTGTCCTGGATGGGAAGAACCTGGGAGTCTGGCCATGGCCACCAAGGATATGTAGGAAGGGAAAACAGCCACTCCCACCTGAGGGCACAGCATACCCCTACAGCATTTGCTGAGAGGGAAAGTCACCCTTGTGAAATGCTGGGCTGCCAGCCTTCTCCCGGTTGGGAGTCCCCTGCCTGTCCTTCCTCCTCACAGTAGACACAGGCTGAGTTCAGGCCTCGGCTCCACCTCTCTGTTGTACTCACAGCATGGGGATCTGTGGCAGGCTGTTCCGCTTCTCACCATCTGTGGAGAGAGGAGGCGGGGGAGCTGGAGTCTGTGGCAGCTGACCTTCTCATTGCTCCCTCCCGCAGGAGAGCCCTGCCCCGTGGGGGTGCTCTCCATGCATCACAGTGGAGCGCCACAGGCCTTGGGCTAGAGCTGGGGTCTTCCTTGTAGCCTTGTGTGAATCAGGACGTGCTCAGGCCCAAGCCTGTGCTGCCTGACTCTCACCCCAAACCAGACACACAGATACACGCACACACGGTCCAGCTGTTGTCCAGCAAGGGCTCTGATTTTCCCAACACAACATATGCCTCTTCTCCAGTGGCCAGCCTGGGCAGGACCTGCAGCTCATGTGCCAGAGGACCTATAGGGAGCAGGGTGGGCAGCGTGCGCCTCCCTGCACTCATGAAGTCTTGGCCTTCACTTTCAGGCTGCTGGTTCTGCTTCTTCCTGTGCTGCCCCCAGAGGACTGGCTTGGTTGTGCCTCCATCCAGGGCTCAGCCCCTGGGCTGTTGCGTGCAAACCCACCTTTCTTGGGATGAACAATGAGCGAGCCCTTGTGTTCTCCCTGCAGCCGGCAGTAGCCATCAATGAGGTCAGCCATGTTCTCAGCCTCTGCTGGAGACGAGGTTTTGATGGACAAGCACTGCAGAGAGGAGACCAGCCGGAGATGAGACTCCCAGAGCTCGGGTCACAGGTGCACAAGGCCTGGAGAAGACTGGCTGTGGGACCCTCATCTCCTATCTCTGCTCGCATTTGCTGTAGGCACCAGAGGGCGCACTTAGTTCTCCTGCTTTGTCTTGCTCTGAATGCCTTACTCTTGGCAGATGGTCAGTACATGAGAGCAGAAACAGAAAAGGAAGGGCATTGAGTGGGGCAACAGACAGGTAGGCGAAAGGAGACAGACAAATGGCCCACAGTCTGCAGCCTTTCTGATTCCTCAATTCACAAAAAATTCCCTCAAGTCACTGTTTATGTGGTCAGAGTCAGGCCTCTGACTTATACCCGTGCTCTGGTCACCCAGATCTGCCCTCAAAACTTTCCCAGCCTTCCTGACACTAAAAACACAGTAGGGATATTGTTTTCTAGATGCTGTTATAATTCATCATCATCCTGAGGCTTTGTCAGAGCACCAGGTATGGTTATCTTAACTAGATGCCCAGGGAACTCCTGGTCTTCTGCCCATCCCTGCCAAGTTGGCCTGAGCAAGAGCTCTTGACTTACAATTATAGGGCTTCCAGGTCCCTAGGTGTTTTTAGAGCTGCTCACCTGGGGGGCGCCTTCGATGCCCAGCTGCAGAACTGCCTGGCCCTCCTCCAGTGGGAGGCATCTGATGGACTTGATCTGCTTGAACTCAGCCAGGCAGGTAGGCTGTGGGGAATGAAAGGGGCCTTTGAGACTGTCCTGCAGTAGAGACCAGACTGTACAGGTTGCTGGGTATGGGTGGGGGTGGAAAGGAAAAAGAGGTTCTGGAGTGTAACCAAAAAAACTAAAGAGTTTTAGGGCTGAAAGGATTATCTGGGCCAAGTTATGCACATTGAAAATGAAGTCTGAAGAAAGTTTAAACATGCCCAAAGTCATATGCCAAGTTGGCAGTATAGCCAGAGCCAGACCCAGGCCCCTGATTCCCAGGGAAGTCATTGACTCATCTTGCCATTGAAAGAGCAACTCTTGTATCTGAGCCAAGAGGGTAATAAAAGCGTCCTCTCCCTGCTCCCACCCCACCTGTATGCTGAAGAGTCATGGGAAAGAAAGAGCCATCTGCACTGCACTGCAGGGCCCAGGTGCTCTCTTCAAGGCTGTTCATACCCAGGACCTGGCCCCTGGCAGGTCTGTACTCAGCAACATAGGGAAGAAGAAGTGATGGGGCAGTCAGGGAGGAAGCAGAGGAAAAGGATGACATCTCTGACTGGGGCTACCTTTGCATCTTGACTCGTCAGTTGGCGGATGCCTTTTGGGCCAATGACCAGGTCCACGGTAATGTTCCATCCTTGCTGGAATAAAAAGAGAGGCGAATGTTGCCCAAGATCGGCCCATCCCATAGTTCAGAAATTTGACGCCCACTGTCTCTGGACCCTCCAGCTCCTTCATTATACAGCTACTCACTCCCGATGCCTGACCCACAGCCCAAGATGGGAGGTCAATGTTTCAACTCCCTGATGCAAACAAGCAGACCGACATGCATCCTGCCATGGGCGGGTTAACAAGGCCCTGCTGCCTGGGCACCCAGTGTTAGTGGTCCTGGGTTTCTCCCTCCCCCCATGAGGAACTTGATTCAAACACACGATGAAAGAGCCTGTTATTACAATGAGTTCACAGCGGTATGTCTCCTGGTCGATGTTGGCAAAGCCAGCAAGGGTGTTGAAGAACTTCATGACACACTCTTCCTCCTTGAGCGAGGCATACTGCTGGAACGTCTGCTGGATCATCTTCCGAAACTGCTTGGGCTGTGGAGGACAGGGGCAGTGCTGGGTGGGTCCTGATTCCTTTCCCCAGGGGTTCTGCCCAAGTATGGCTACAGGGCAAGATCCCAGAGCCCTGCTGCCAGAGTAGCAGCGATCGATCCCTTACAACACACTCCTGCTGTCTCCAGGGAGCTTCCCCATGTCCCTGCACCATCCCAATGCTCAGGCCACAAAGTGACGCTGGAGCCAGCCAGTTCCATCCTGATTCCCAGCCACATCAAGGACTCACTGGGCACAGTTAGCTGTGACATGTGCGAGTGTCCAAGGCATACAGACACCCTGGATGTCCTGCGAATCCCCAGCCATATCTCTTTAGGTCTGGGCCTGGGGGCCAACAAAAAAAGGATTTTTTTTTCTGGGCCCCTTCTTCATGATTTCCTCACCTTTAAGTTTTCCTGCATTTGCTTTGGGAAAAACAGGTCCAGGCCCACTTCCTTTCTGAAAGAAGTTTTAAAAAAGAACAGCAATTGAATTTCTCCTCGGTGTCACCCAAGAGCTTCTGGCCAATCATGGAGAGTTGAGAGAGTTGGGGATCAGGGAGTTGGGCTCTGCCAGTGGCCTAGGGTAAGTAGGGCGGTGGGAGTGAACAGTCAAAGTAGGCATCAGAGCCAAGGAAAGAGCAGAGCCAAAATCCAGCACTTACTCTAAGAACTCGAAGTTGGACTTCTTGTCGAGTGCGTTGTGGGGCATGTCCTTGAAGAAGCGCCTAGAGAACGAGAGAGCAGTCACAGAAGAATGGGTTGGTGGTTGGAGAAAGGCCAGCAGAACAGGGGCACCCTCTGGGCCTGCTTCCCCTGATAGATAGGGAATGCACTGAGAGGCAGAAAGTTAGGAGGATTGTTTAACACTATAGTTAGAAAACTAAGAGGGAGAGGGGAACCCACAAACTTTATCCTCCAAAGAGACCATGCTAATCCTCTGGGAGACTGAACTCTGGACATCACAGCTGTTGACTGAGAAGAAGAGGATGGCTCTAATCCACAAAACAAACAGCCCAAGGTAGCAAGTACTCAGCTGTCAGCTCAGGAGCACCCACCTCCACTCTCAAGTCCTGTCTGACTATGTGTCACCCTCACTCCCCTGCCTGTAGGACTATGTCTAGTAATTTCACTGACTATTGCAGACATTGTCCTACTGTTGATCTGACATGAATTTAACTCTATGTTCCATTAACTTATATGTTTATAGACACCTGGGAATAGTTCTTTTCAGCCAATATCATAAAAACAGAGAGAAGGAAATTAATTATGTTTCAGGACAATGTTTAGAAAATAGGAATATTAATCCTTTAACTCACAGTCTATAGGGAACGAGGGAGTATTTTTAAATGTTCATGGCAAAAAGGTGTATTTCCTTTGAATTTTATTTTTTCATGAACTTTTTGATACACTCCTACTAAACAGTAAAATGCATTTTAAAAATAGAAAACAATCAAGGAAATATTTTCAAATTATGGGATCAAAAGAACATCTAAAGCACAAAATCTCAGAAGAAATTTCCAGTAAAATTTAAAACATAAAATATTGTGTATCTCTAACATTTTTTTTAAATAGCATCTTTTATTATATTGTTAAGCAAAATAAGTACCTGTCTCATAACTAATATGATCTCATTACTAGAAAAATAAATGTATTATAAAACTACAGAACAGATCTACCCTGTTAATGGGGTGGAAAGATGATTCCTGGTTAACCAAATTCCAAGTAATTTTAGGAGATTTTCTGTTAATTTTTCCTACAGGTTCCCAGTATTACATGTTAAACAGGAGTTATCTATTTCACTTAAAAAAAAAAAAAGCTTCAAGGAGTGAATTTCATCAACTCTTCGTTTCCTCTAAAAACAAATGCTCCCACCTCAACTTGCAAAGGACTCAAGGCAGACAATGCTCAAGTTATTAGCCTACGAAAGCCCACTCCCTCTGACATGTGTACCTCTGTGATTTCTTTTTATTTTCTTTCTTTGAAATACTGCAATATGTAAATTAGTGTGTTCATTTAACTAACTAGCAAATGTGGTACATACACAAATTTTGGAACTTAACGGAACAGAAGAAAATCTATAATTCTGCCATGAGAGGTGATACTTACAAGCACTTTATTAAATAAAATGTATGTTTTGATGAAGACTTTTTTTTAAAGATTTATTTTATTTTCATTACAAAGTCAGATATACAGAGAGGAGGAGAGACAGAGAGGAAGATCTTCCATCTGATGATTCACTCCCCAAGTGAGCGCAATGGCTGGTGCTGTGCCAATCTGAAGCCAGGATCCCGGAGCTCTTCCAGGTCTCCCACATGGGTGCAGGATCCTAAGGCTTTGGGCCATCCTCGACTGCCCTCCCAGGCCACAAGCAGGGAGCTGGATGGGAAGTGGAGCTGCCGGGATTAGAACTGGTGCCCATATGGGATCCTGGCCTGTTCAAGGTGAGGACTTTAGCCATTAGGACATGGCACCGGGTCCGATGAAGACTTTTATGTGCAGTTCAAGTGCAACATTTACACTTTAGTCAATCTTTTTGGGTTCATTATTTGAAAAGTGGCCATTTCAATCTTTACACATTTACTTGATGAAAGGCCTTTTTCTCTGTCTCTTTCCCTTAGCGGTCACCTAAGAGCTACAGAGGTTTGACTTCAATCCTTTTCTTAGATTCTATGTAATTGAGGTGAATATTTTATCATGATCTATCTGTGGTCTCTCTTCCATCTGCATATCACTATGACTATTTTCATTTAGTAGAAATTTGAGGTTAAATTAAAAACTTTGAAAAAGACTATGGGGCTGGTGTAGTGCATAAAGTTGCTGCTTGCAATGCCAGCATCTCATTATGGGCACTGGTTTACATCCTGGCTGTGCCACTTGCAAACCAGCTCTCTGCTAAAGGCCTGGGAAAAGCAGCACAAGATAGCCCAAGTGTTTGGGCCCCTGTTAGCCACATGGGAGACATGAATGAAGCTCCTGGTTCCTGGCTTTGGCCTCACCCAGCCCTGCTGTTGCAGTTTTCTGGGGAGTGAACCAGCAGATGGAAGATCTCTTTCTCGTCTTTCTCTTTCTGTAACTATGACTTTCATAAATACACAAATAACCTTTAGTTTGAAGAGATACTGGTGGAAAGAAAACGGATATTCTCAACATTCACTTTACCAAAAATAAAAAGCTAATTTCATCCATTTCTTTGTTCCCTCCTGTTGTAATGTGGGTAAAGACTAAAGTCCTAACATGAAAGAACATATTTCAGTGAAAAGTGACTGTTCAAGGGCCTAACTAAGTGAAATCCAAGTGTAAAGTCTTTCTATGCCTCACCCTAGACTGAACTCCCAGCACCACTTGAGGATATTTGGGCTGACATGCCTACAGAGGGGGTGGTAGTGATCTCAGCATCTTTAAAAAAAAAAAAGGGCCTCAACTACCATCTCTGACGGAGGCTGGACCTGCTGGGAATGCCCTCTAGTGCCCAGTCAGCTCTCTGCAGCCCATGCCCACAATCTTAAGTGGCTAGCACCAAGAGAACCGCAGAGTCTATAAGGCCCTATGTTTAATGGCCAGGTAAGGACAGTAGAAAAGCAGCATCTTTGCAAAACCCAATGAGTTGTGTTTTACTTTTAAGCAGAAATGGCAGTGCTAACTCATGGTTGACAACTGTAAATTAACCGTGAACTGCATTTTTTTTTTTTTTTTTTAGTTGAAGGTGTCCTGGGCCTCTGCTGGGCCAGTAGAACTCTGGCTGTCACAGGTCAAGAGTGGAAAGTTATTTGTTTTCTCAAACCAGGAAGGGACTCATCTCTAGTATTTAAGTCATGAATTTCAAGTTTTAATGTGAAAGGGTAAAGTTGGGAAAAATAATAATCTTGTCATTTACAAAGAACCTCTAAAAATCAATAAAAATTGTAATTTGGGCTATTACAGCTAAATGAAAATGTGAAACTGTAACAACAGTGCTTGTCAAGGATGGTGAGACAGGATGAAAAGACGGAGCACAGAGGATTTTAGAGCAGGAACTACTCTGCACGACGCACTCATGGGAGGTCTGCTGTCCAAGCTCAGGGAATGCACAACACCAAGAGGGAGCCCCGACACAAACCATGGGCTCCCTGTGACAACAATGTGCCTGTGCTGATGGTAAAAAGTGGACCACTCTGAAGGGGGATGCTGGTGGCGGAGGAAGCTGTGTATGTGCAGGGGAAGTGGTGCATAAGAGATGTCTGTCCTTTCATCTCAATTTTGCCGTAAACCTTAAGCTACTCCAAAAACTAAAGACAAAGAGAAAAAAAAAGCTAAAATGAATAATTATTGAACAACCTCTAGGTCTATCATTGCTCTGAATGGTTTAAGTTCTTTTAGAAATTCCTTACAGCAGTCCTGTAAAATTACCATTGTTATCATCCTCACTTCCCAAAGGGACTGAAGTGCAGAGGGAGCAAGTGACTTGCATGGAGTAGCACAACAAATAGAAGACCCAAGGCTACATGAGGACAGCCCCTCCTCAGTCCCATGGCCCTCTACTCTTTTTAAAATTGTATACATTTAATTTTGATCATTTTACATATTTTATTAGGATGTGAAGGGTTAAGAGCTAGAGGACAGTGGGTGAGACCATTGTTTTTCACATTCTCTTTTTTTCCTCCCTGACTCTTGGGGGAGAAGTCATACTTGCCTTTCAGCCACCCCTGGGTCCCCACTGTGGAGCATACTCCGAGGGTTCTGCTCAAGTGGTTTTGATAGTCTAACAGTTCGGCATTGCTGCCGATCTTGCCACTCCAATCACAATGAAATTTCTCCAGACTCCATTGGCTGACACAGTTCACCTTAGAGTTTTCGTTTGCCCAGGTATTCACTGCCAACTCTTGGCTTGGGTAGTTGATTAATTTGTTCTGTCCTCCATCTTCTGTTATGGTACCAGGTGTCCTCTACAGGCTCCAGTGTACTGCCATATCTTCCATGTGCGTCTGGATATGTTGTCCACTGCTTCATCTAAGCCACTGAGGAGGCCTAGCTCTGACACAAGCATTCCACGGTCAGACCATGGAACCTACAATTTTCTCTATGGTTGGAATTCTGAGCCCAGTGGTTCAGTTGGGGGGGTTCCCAAAGAAACTTCATCTGAGGTGATTCCAGACCTGATTCTCATGTGCGCATGCCAATAGAGGGGCCGGTATTATCCATCACCGAAATCAGTCTATGCACACACTGTTAGTTGCAATTGCTGGGTCAGTTGTCTCCAGCCTTATCTTCCACGCAAACTAATGGGTGTTGCATTCCAGGTCAATTCTGCCCACTGCACACTCGGCCCCTACTCCTAGTTGGAGTGACCCGCAATAACCCCCACCAGGTCTACCCACTGCCCTGGTTCTCGTGCTTGCCAGTATGTACAGCAGGCTGATCCAGTCTGTCCCACATCTCATTCAGCTTTCATACATGTCAAGGGGCACTGAAGCTTAGTTCAACCCAACTGGCCCCCTATACAGCCCACACATGTGCCAGCAGGTGCCACTCTGGCTGGTCATGCCTGTCCCAGGCCTGGTTCTCATGCTCACCAGTTGGAGTGGCAACCCAAGAGAGAAGTGCTCACTATTTCCTTAATGGGCTCACTCCCACTCCTGGATCTTGCACTCTCCAGATGATACTGCGTTTAGCTCAACAAAGTCTTCCCCCTGTGCCAGTGTCTGTTAGCTGATGCTGCAGCAAAGCCCAACCAACCCTCACCCACTCTGGCGTAAGCATGCACCTATAGGTACAGTCCACCCAGCCTGGCTTGTCTCCAATGCAACCTACATGCAGACCAACAGGTGTTGTAGCCTTGTCTGGCCTGGTCTGCTCCAAATCCCAGCTCTCACACTCACCAGTGGGAATATTTGGCCATTTACTCATACCCAACTTGTTCTTGAGAAGAATTGCATTACGGATTTATTTTATTAATCTCACATTTCATATGTGCCCCATTTTTAAAGAAGGATACATTAATTTTTCCCCTGAAGATAACATTTATCTATAGGTAGGTGATAGCAATCCATGATGTTAATAGGACAAGGAACCATTGCTCGAGATTTTTAGGAACACTCCCATTTTATGAACCTTTGCAGTCAACAGCCACAGTCAGAAAATTCAGCCTAATGACTTGACTTTCAGAAATGTAACTGAATCCCTTTGTAGGAAATACAACTTGACTTTAAACTTACCCATTATAACACATGGCTTAGTGTTCAACTTGCAAAATTATTAGTACTGAAAATCTTTGGTTAGGTTTATGAAACAGGTGCTTCCTCATCTTCGCTCCCTAATATATTTCCTGTACTTCAGTGGCTGGAGGGTGAGAATAGGAGCTGTCTGACTCTATTCACTCTCAGGGAGATGTGAAACAGCTCAACCTTCCCATGAAACAAGGTAGCCTTGGCAGTAATCCTGATTTGGTTAAACAGAAGACAGTACTAGACTGCACACTCCTGACAATACTATATACAACAGCACGTCAACATCTTGCTAGTCTTCCAACCCATTAAGCCACCGTTAATGATAACGTGAGAATGACTCAAAGCCTTAAAAATATGAGACAGGGTTTTAATGGATCATCTCTATGCTGTGCTTTTGCTAATAAATGAATGAATGAGAGGTAATAATTACTGTAATGGTAAAGTAAAACCAGAGTCCTGGATGTGAGGTCCATGCATAAAACGGCAAAGGTGAGGCTAATTTTGATGGGGAGATTCTGTGGGCCACATGCAGGTTGGAGGAGCTATGGTCCTGGGATGCATACATGGGTGCATACTCCACAGACGGCCCAGGACTGCCAGCACTGAGTTCCTGAGATCACCAGCAGGCACTGAGGTGGCTTGTCTTTAACTGGCCCCTCAGGAATGCCTTTGATCTATTTTGTCATGAAAACCCACTGAGATATTAAAATCAAAGTGAGACCCTTACCTTCCCAACACACAGCTCCTCACCAGGGGAACCCATCAGTACTGTCTTTGAGACCCCATATGAGGCCGTAACGTCTGATTCTGTAGAAAGAATAGCGACTCTACCCTCTTTTACCTTTAGGGTTAGGAACAGGATCTGCTCTGGAATTGCATATTCAGCAAAGCAGGATATGCAGTGCTCCTGAAAATCTGCCAACTCTTCTGAGGTCGGCTGCATCCAAATCAAAGGAGGGCTGGGTGGCTCAGGTCTAAAACATACTCTACGGGCTGGGCTGATGTGGCAGGCAAAACAATTGCCTGCAATGCCATCATCCTATATGAGCACTGGTTTGAGTACTGGATGCTCCACTTTTGACCCATCTTCCTACTAATGTACCTGGGAAAGCAGCAGAAGGTGGTACAAGCACTTGGGCCCTTGCCACCTAGTGTGGAGACCTTGATGGAGGTCCTGGCTTTGGCCTGACCAAGCCCTGGATATTGCAACATTTTTTTTCCCCTCTCTTTCTCTCCCACTCCCTGTGTCTTATAAATAAGTAAATAAATATTAAAGTCATCCATATCTATCAAACAAGAGTTCCCAAGGTTGGGGGAGGGGTTTTCTGGTTTATTATGCTGCCAAGAGATTATGAGTTTGAACTACATACTGAAACCACTGTCCTAAAACAGGAGAAAGGGCTGGGTAGGAAGGAGGTGGATGGTGAAACCGAATGGTGCTGTCTTGGTCATGATGAGGCTGGGCCCAGGTTTATTCACATTAGCTTCCTCTTTTCCAAAGCACAAGGGCCTCCAATAACCAAGAACAGAATTATTTTCTCAGATTGTTATTCAAATGATGCTTTCTAAACAATGTCATTAGAAGACCATTCTAGTGGTGGTGCTTTTTACCATTGGCCCCAACTTACACCTCCAAGTCACTCCCATGATTCTCCAGTCTATGCTTTTCCTTCCGCTGGTCCCTGGGACTAAATTTCCTTCCTGGCTCTTCCACATACCCATTCTTATGTACCACCCTGGACCTGAAGAAAGTCCTTGAAGTCCAGAGGCCAGTATAGCACCCTTCCAGGAAGGGCTTGAGGTCACATACCTGAGCTCCAGACAGCCCAGCTGCAGGGCCATTCCCTCGCTGACCTTGCTGGCATAGCGCTGCATGTAGTCATTCCGGAGCTGACAGGGAGAAAGGTCCAGGGTCAGACTCATACCTTCATCCCTGACTTCCATGAGCAGAGGTTTCAGGAGATAAACACAGCCTGTCTCCTGGAGCGGTGCCTTGTACCCAATCACCACAACCAACCAGGGAGCACAGATGGGGACTACAACAGGGGCACTCTTTCAGTTGTGCTTCCGCTTCCCTCTAGAACCTTATTCCTCCAAGGGCTGTGGATTGGTAAGGAGTTTCCACATACATTTTCTAGTTTCTCCTCTTTGGCCCCTCATTCTGGGTAGAAGGAAACAGAATTGGGGAGGAGTCAGTAATTTATCCAAAGACCTCTTGATACATTGGTACAAATATCATCCATGACCCAAGAAAAGTCTGATTTGGTCTCTAGCATAGCAGGAGGGAGTTAAGATCAGACACACAACAATGACAGTGAATTGCTTGGATTCCAAGCTTACTCTGTGCAGGCGCTATGCTACATACTTAATGTATACTACACCTAGTGGTGTTTCAGAGAATCTCCAAACAGCTCACAAGAGTCAGCTGTTATATTCTCATAAGTTTCGCAAGGTGGTGAACATTATATCGGTAGCTTGAAAGAGATCACGTTCATAGTATTTACATCATAGAAATCAGCAATAGCTACAAGTCAGGGATTTTTTTCTCTCTTTCCCCCTGAAAGCCAATTTTTCAGTCCACTGCCATGATATCACTTGGTCTTCACAACAATAATATAAAATAGGAATCATTGCTATTATAATTTCTACTTTATAGAACAACTTCATGCCGATAAATGAAGGCTCTAAGAAGATGACACAGCTGGGCCAGAAACCAGGTAAGTCAGACTGCAAAGTTTGGGTGTTAAGTACTGCAGGCTTCTTTTTGGACCTGTCCATCCTGCTTCACAAGGTAGGTTCTCTGGGTCACTGGAAAACTCCAGGGGTTGCGGGGCTGGGAGCTATGAGGCAGGCAAGCAACACTTAAATAGCAGAAGAGGAAAGCAATGAGCCAGGAATATTTTCAAGAAATTTTTCTTGGACCAGCTATCCATATTCTGGGCTTTGTATTTCTAACTGCCTAAGAGAGAATGGGGAATAGTTGGCATTTAAGGTGTGCTGGGACCCTAGGGATGGGTGGATCTTATACTTTTTTACCTGTTGGTAAAAGTAAAGCAGCGTGGTCCTGTCTTCTTTCAGGCTCTCCATGAAGTCTTCAGGCAGGTAACGTATTTGGAGATCATACCTGCAACAGTACAATCAGATTCTCTGGCATCAAAAGGGGAAGCAGGACACCAAGGACAGAAGCAAGCCCATCCTCGGGCAAGCAGAGTTGCCCAGAAGGCTCCTGACCATGGATTTGGGTCTTGATTTTTCTTTCTCATCTCTGTGGTTGGGCAGAGGACCAACAGACAGAGAGCCTTCAATTGTGTAGGTTCACAGACCACCCCTTAACCTAGGCTTTCCATTGTTCCCTGCACTCCCTTTACCATAGCACCACCAACATTCTGTCTGAAGACAGTCCTAGAACTCTGCCCAGGAACGTGGATATGCTGTGAGGCTGTGTCAGACTTTGGAAAATATATGTATTGGATATTCAGGAGAATTAAGCCTGGAAGACAGCTCAGATTTTCCAAATGATTCTAAGGTTGTGGAGAACTATAAGGGAAGATCTCCCAGCATGCCAGTACCCCACATGCAGCTTCCCTTATTCCTACCTCCACTCGGCTTCCACGTGCAGACATTCATACTTGTCCTGAACCTCACCCACTGTCATCTGTGGGTGCAGCCAGTGGATTTCATCTGACTTCATGTGCTTCAGCCTCAGCCCATAGCACTCAGCCAGCTGGATGTTGGGCCCGATCCGCCCACTCAATAGGATGGAGGTGATGATCTCCTATGAAAACAAGAGGGGCATGACTCAGGAATATCCCCTCCTGGTCTCACAATTTTCATTCTGCTCCGAGAAGTGCAATCCCTAGGGCAGAATGGTGTCTTAATATTTTGCATCTCTGATTCTCTTGTGCTTAGTGAAGACTTGCTACCCATTGTGTGGTATCTGATGAATGAACAGTTTGGATAAACGAGACAGGGATAGAAGAGCAGAGAGGATAGAGCAGGAGTGAAAGAGAAAATGCAGAGAGGCAAACAGCACAGAATCTGGGACTTGATACTGCATCCCCATCAAGTAAATTGTTTAAAAAAAAAAACACTTCAATTTTCCAACTTGGCTTTTGATACTGGATGTCTGGACCAGGCACTGCCAGGACTTTACAACCATTTTCCACTAAATGAGTATGACACAGGGACTTTACAACCATTTTCCACTAAATGAGTGTTACACTCCTATTTGGCTCATGGAAAACCCATGTAGGTCATTATAGCTCATGAAATTAAGCTGAAATTTTGAACTCTGGGTCATTGGACCTGAGCATTCCCAGATGGGAAAGTTGCTTCATGCAATGGTGTGGCTAGACAAGATAGAAGGACAAGGCTCCCATCAAGGAATTAGCTGCCATGTTCCCCACACAAGAAGAATGGGCACAGGAAACAGAGTCCTGGCAAGAAACCAGGGACCCGCTCTTGTCCTTCTTCTTGTTCATCAGATGTTAAATAGACCACCTGCCCGATAGGCAAATGTTACAGTCTCCTGGCCCCAGAGCCAGAGCTGGAGCAAGAAGAGGGTCAGCTGAGCAGCTGTTCAACAGCCCCTCTATCAATCCTGCCTGGTCATAAAATCACCTTGGCACCATTTTAACTCAGGTTTCCTGTGTATTCCCACAAACAATTAATGAGTGAGCTGAGTTTCCTCCTGAGAGCAGCTTTGGAGGCAAATCTTAAAACTTGCAGGCATTGACCTATCTCTTGTCTTTATACTGTGCATGACAAGTCTATACTAGTCTAAAGACTGAATGACGCACAGAAGGCTACTATCTGACCAGGAAGAGGTGGGACGCTTGATTACTTGGATTTTACGATTTTTTTTTAACAGAACTCCACAGAGTCTTGAAATTTAGTCAATCACATGCAAGAATCTCTTAACTGGAGTAAAAAGAAGGTTTCCATCTCTTCTAGAAAAACATCAAATTCACATTTAAAATAATACTGTAGGAGTGCCCAATTATCTGTCTGCCTAGGTCAGCATGTGTATGTCCCTGCTGCCTCCTGCTGGTCCTCCTGGGCTCTAGAAAGCATCAAAGCTGGAAAAACTCAGACTGAAAAGCACCTGTTAGAAAAAGGTTCCAAACCAAAAATCAAGTACTATTTGTTACTTAAACCATAGCTTAGGACTGAGCTACAGGATGCACAGTTGTAACAAATCTCACAGGAATCAGGACTGGGTCTTAGCACGGAGAAGACTGCAATGAATGACACCTCCACAGGGAGAGGGGTATGATAGATGGTGGAGTTCAAGGTGATGAAGCAGCCAATTTTGTCACTCTCTCCATCCATTTCTCCTTCATAGATCATCTGCAGAGCTCTGTCATCTTGGTCATCCTGACATATCACCCAGGGCCCCCTGCTGCTTCTGAGCCCCAACTGGAGTCCCCACCTCCGCATTTCTAAACTCAGACCCTTTCTCCACCCAGTTGAAATCAACGAATGTCTGATTTCCCTAGGATAGGATTCTGTGTTGCTTATTACTAATAATTTAAAGAAAATATAAAAATAAGAGTATAATAGATCCCTTTGTGCACTTTACACAGCTTCAACAATGACCAGCAGTTTGCCACTCTTGTTTCATCTATACCACCACCTACGCCCTAGCTGTGACTCAACTAGAATGATTTCTTTGTAGCTCTTGTGTTCAAGTAAAATCTATATACATTAAACTGCACAATTTTGTTTGTACAAATCTGATACTTGAACACATCTGTGTAACCCACACAACAGCTAAGATAAAGTTTTACGAATTCTTCAAGAGTTCTCTTGTAGTCCTTGCTGTCTCCATAGCCCATTCCCACCCTCAACTCCAGACAACTGCACACAACTCCACCTTTTTATTCCAATTACTTTGCACATTCTAGAATCACACATAAATGAAGTTAGAAAATGGCATTTATCTGAAAGACATGGTGACAAAAAGAGAGGGAGAATGGAGAAAGAGATAAAAAAGACCATGCAAAAGAATAAATGCATATGAGTGAGAATCTTCCATTTACTGGTTCACACTCCAAAAAACAACAGCCAGGGATGGGTCAGGACTGAAATGAGAGTCAGACGTTCCATATGAGCCTCCTAAATGAATGTCAAGGACCCTAGTATTTGGACCATCATTCAAGCCTCCCAGGTGTACTGTCAGGAAGTTGGATCAAAAGTTGGAGGCAGAACTGGATCCCAGGTTCTGTGATATGAGATGTAAGTATCCTAGGCAGTGGTTTAACTTGCTATTTGCTACAATGCTCATCCCCAAACATCATATTTCTGTGTGTCCAGATTTTTTCACTTGGCATATCTGAATTCATCCATGTTGTACTTGAGGACATTGAAAGAACTTGAATGAAGAACAGAATTAAAACATAAGTTTCATCTTGCACCAAAATTTGTTTTTAAAATTCATGCATATATTTTTTTCATGGCCCACAATTTCCATGAACTTTTTTTTTAAGATTTACAGAGAGAAGGAGATACAGAGAAAGATCTTCCATCCACTGGTTCATTCCCCAAGTGGCTGCAATGGTCAAGCCTAAGCTGATCTGAAATCAGGAGCCATAAGCTTCTTCTGGACCACCATGACCGTGCAGGGTCCCAAGGCTTTGAGCCATCTTCTGCTGCTTTCCCAGGATGACAGCAAGGAGCTAGATGGGAAGTGAAGCAGCCAGAATGTGAACCAGTGCCCATATGGGATCCCAGTGCATGCAAGACAAGGATTCAGGCACTAAGCCATTGCATAATGCCCTTCATGAACTTTCTGAAGCCATTCATATGCTTTTATTTCAGGTTTTTGCAAAAATAAATAAATAAATTGCATTTTAATTTCATTTCAGATGAAATTTTAAAGTTTTACTCATTTATTTCAAAGGCAGGCTAAAAGAGAGAGAGAGAAAGAGAGAGAGACAGAGATTTCTCCTGTTGATTCAATCCCAAATTCTCAAATGCCTGCAATAGTCAGGGATGGGTAAGATCAAAGCTAGGACCTAGAGATTTCATCCAAGTCTCACATGTGTGCAGCAAGGATTGGAACTGGTGATGAGACTCGAAAGGTGGGCCTTCCCAACAGTAGCCTAACCTACTGAGCAATAACACCTGTCTGTTTTTTTTCCATGAATTTTTGGAAGTACTCTTGTACTGGTGGATAATATTCTACTTCGTAAACGAATCACAATCTGTTTGTTCAGGCCCCTGATGCTGCACACCATGGTAACTAATTTTCGGTTACTGCTGATTTCATTATCATCAACATCAATGTGCGAGAATTTTGTGTATTACTTCTTTTAGATACAGTGTGAGGAGTGGAATTATAGGATCAGATGTAGATGACACTTGCCTTTATGAGAAACTGTCAATAATATTCCATTTTATATTTGCCTTGTTACTTGAGACTTCCATTATACACTATCTTTATTAACATTTGCTGTTGTCAATCTTTTTAATATTAGCATCTTAGTGGGTGTGTATAGTAAGTAGTATCTCATTGTGCTGCTAATTTGCATCTTCCTGATGACTAACAGAATTGAGCATATTTTCATCTGCCTGTGGGCCATTTATATACCTTCCTCTTCAAAATGTTTGTTCAGATCCTGTACCCATTTTCTTTCAGTAGTCTCTTTATTATTGAGGTGTAGAAGGTTTCTATACATTCCAGATAAAAGTACTTTGTGTGATATGGTTCATGACTATTTTTTCCAGGTTGATAGTGGCTTCTGTGAGTTGTTTTTGGCAAATATTCAAAGCTGAGTGGAAAGTGGGAACCCTGAAATTTATGGTCAGTTGGTCAGAAGTGTGGATGATTTGGGAGCCCTGCAGTTTACAGCTAGGGCCTCAGAAGAGGAGTGTCCCTGTGCATTGGGCCCACAAACTGTGAGATGTGAGTTAACTTCAGAACACACTATGTCAGACTGCATTATGATGTGTGCCCTTCAGGTATAACTGGGAGCAGCACATTCAAGTTTACAGTAACACAGAGCGAGCATTTACTTTGGACTCACATAAACCCGGGTGTGACCCGGTTCTGAATCATATTTCTTTCTAGTAGGATAATGTGCTCCCAAAGCCATGTTTTCCTTCCTGCAGTTCTCCAAGCTACTCCTACTGATCAGCAGAATGGCTTGTTCACTCAAGCCATCAGCAGCTATCTGTTACACAGATACTCTACAAGGCATAGTCAGGAGCTCTGTGCCAATTGCCATCTCCTGCAGAAGTGCTTGTGATTATTATGTATGAAGAAGAATGTGGCTGAAGCTTTAGGTAGGCACAGAGTCAAGAGAAAGAGAATGTTTGGGAGCAGGCATTTGGTAGAATGTTTAAGATGTTACATGGAATGCGAATATTTCATATCAGAGTGCCTAGGTCCAAGTTCCAGTTCTGCTTCCAAGTCCAGCTTCCTGCTAATGCACACACTGGGAGGCAGTGGCAATGTTTCAAGTGGCTGGATTCCTGAATCCTTTTGGAGACCCAAACTGAGTTCTCAACTCTTGGCATCTGCCTGACTTAGCCCCAACCCTTGAGGGCGTTTAGGGAGTGAACCAGCAAATGAAGATTGATCTGTGTGTGTCTGGCTTTCAAATAAATAACAATTTGAGAGGCAGAGAGAGCAGGTGCTGAGGTTTGCAGCCATCTTGCCTAAGTTGGCTTTGAATCAGCTTCGCCTTCCCCCTCTTCTCTGTCACTTCTTTGATATTCTCTCACAAATGGTGGGAACAGCAAATCAGCACTCTACCCACGGCCCATCAGCTG